GGCACTGTAGTTTTTAGTAAAAGTTACTGAAACAGAATTAAAAAGTGTAATCTTTGGGGACTATTTTCAGTTGTGTATTAATACACATTCAGTGCTCTAGGGAGTATTTACGGCAGCAGGCAGTGTGTGTGGGATCCATGTTTATTATTATGAAGCAACATCTTACCCAGTGCGACTGTTTGAGTCACTAATGTGTTTTTACAGTAATAGTTGGACAACAATGGAGCTCTATGGCACAAAGGAACAGGATATAAGGCTTGTGATACACAGAAAATACATGTTAGTAGAATAAATGTATTGCTGTTATGGAGCCGTTATCCCAGGTTTGTTTCTGAGTAATCTCACAGGCTGCAACCAATGCTAAGCACATGTATATTGGTGGGTGAATATGATTGGCCTACATAGCACATTTATTTTGGTTCTCATCACATATGAGACTTCATTCATTGAGCTTTTACTCACAATGTACAGAATTAACATTAAGAAGCTCTAGCTAGGGTAAATTTAAGCCGGGGCCCATTGATTTCGCCAGCTATGACAACTGTTGCTGGCAAATTTTCTCTGCTGTAGTCAAGTTACAGTAATTTTGTCCGTTTTTGTTCATTTTCCTTGTTGCAACAAGAAAAACGAAACTCTCAGCTGTCATCTGGTAAAATTTAATATGCTCACTCATTGCTAATTTGCACCACACTGCAGTGGGTGGTCCTTATAAAGGGTGTTTTTATAATACTAGGACCATAATAAAAGTTGATAAGTGCACCAAAGCCTGGTATTAGCTTCAGGTGAACTTAAAGAATGATTTTTGCTTAGAATTTGAATTTTTGTGGATATGTTAGTGTAGTCACTCTACAAAGCTGCTGTTTCAGTATGGAGACAGGAGATGACTACATCACCCCCTAACTCTTTCTACGTACACATGGCATGTGGGTATTGTATTAAAATAGACTTGAATCAGAACCTTCTCTGTGAGAGTGAAGAAACAGATTCAAGTATATTTGATTAGTGACACTTTTGGGTGCACAACACTGCCAGCATCAGGGCTTCACTTCCCACTGGGACCAGTCATGTAAGCACTCGTGTTGGATGCAAGTGCCCACCAGAAAGCACTAGTTATTTTAATATTAGCTGTCGAGCAGCACAGATGTGCCAGGAAGGTACACTCTCTGGGGAAGCAGAATTTTCTGGGACATGAAGCATCACTGCCATGCTGACTATTAGAGGGTTAAGTCAAGTTTTTTAAGAAGTAAACACTGCAGCTGGCCAACGTGCAGTCAGGGTTCTAGTACAGTAGTTCAGAAACTGCCTTCCTTCCTTCCGTTACTTTGATGCATCCATCAAAAAATAAAAATAAAACACAGGTCCCACAACAAAGAATAGGGATCCCACTGCAGGTTAGAGAAGTTGAAAGTTGTCTCAAAAACCTGACAGTTTTATCAGTGTGCCTTGACCTCATTCTTTTTTCAGGATTATAGTTAAATCAAAACATGTTGTCCCTCTTGTTTTGCCCACACTGCTGTAAACTGGTTTATTCTGCAGAAGTTAACGCTACACTGAAATATGAACACTTGTCTGAATAGGACATTAAAGTGTTCTTATGTAATTCTGTTAATTATATATTCCAGTACCATTAATTCTCCAAGACACACACGGAGATGTAACCTCCGTAGGTTAAGTTCCACTTTCATATGCCCCCTTTGCTGAACCACTGCTGAACACTGGTTTCATAAACAAGATCAACTATTCAGATACAGATTCGCATAAACAAACTTTTTTTTTCCTTTTTTGAAGAAGCTCGTAACTAGTTTGGTGAGGGAGAAATGTAGGGTAGTTGTTGTATAAATTCAGACTTCACAAATAGCCACAACTGCAGTAATATTTCCATGACAAATATGTCCCAGCGCGCACTGTTAAAAAGTTGCACTTTATGATAGCTCTTTTAGCTTCCTCCATCCAGCAGTTTGGACTTATGTAGCCAAGAAATTTGTCATTCAGGTCACTATTACTTCAAAGGGCACTTGCTTTAACAGCAGCCAAGTTTTAAATTAAAAACATGACAGCTTGAGTGGAAAAAAAAAGAAGAAAAAAAGAATACTTTTTCCATTGCATTTTTAAAAATGTTTTGGAAATTTCACATTCTCCAGGGCTTTAAAACATTAAATTTGCACAGCTAGAGACAACATTACATACTTTTGTAAAACATTCACAAAAAAGTTTTCCATAAATGTTGGAACTCTGAAAGTCCCTGACTTTGCTTGATTTTAAAAACAGGGAAATAGTGTTCATTCACTTTTAAAAGCCATGATTCAACATAACTCTAAGGTGAGAATCTGCTGGACAGCTGGACGTGAATATGTGAGTGAATCTTATTGTTGCCAACACTGATGTTAAATGCAAATGTTTTGTGGCTAGAGATGCTGGTTGGGGTATCTTTGCTGGCGCTGCAGATAACAGGATGGCACCACCTTCATCTGTCCCCACAGGGAACATGGCACGGAGACAGAGAGAGCCGAGAGCGAGAAAGAGTGAGATTAAGACACAGAAAAAAGTCGGAGTGAAGAAGAGCAAACAATTTCCACGTTAATTAGCATCCCTCTCCTCCCCCGCAACACAAACAATGCGGCGCCCACAGAATCAGAAGCAAACAGGGACAAGGCTGTGAGCTCGCTAACTTTAGGTCTCTGCTCATCTGTGCTGAATCAGTGGCAGGCAGAGTACACATCAAAAAAAGACTGAGCTGTGGGATTAAGAGCACGTCAGAGGGAGTGGTGGGAGGCTGGGAGGAAAGAAAAGGGAGAGGGAAGCACGGGAGGAGGAAGGGAGGGGGATTGAACAAGAGAGACAGACATAGGGAGGGAAGCAAGGGACTGAAGAGAGGAGAAGGGGGGGGGGACAGAACAGAAGGGGGAGATGGAGAGCTGGAGATGAAAGGAGAACGAGAGGAGGAAAGCAAAAGAGGGAGATGGGATGGAGAGAAACAGGGATTGAGGCAAAGCAAGGGAGAAAGAGGACAGAAAAGGAAAGGAGGAGGAGAAGATGCTATTTGAGAGGGAAAGAAAGGAGGAGGAAAGGTGATTAAAAAAAAGATGGTAAAGGTAAAGAAAAAGATGGAGCGAGCAGCACTGGGAGGTAAGAGAGGGGCTGTTCTGTTTATGGATTGCTGTGGTGCCTGCTTCCAGCGCGCAGCAGGCGCTGGTTGCATGCTTCAAATGCTGACATGCAAACATTCGAATGCTGACGCGTGTGTACAAACACACGAGCGTCATGAGCGACTAACTGCAGGGTCGGCATTTGTATGCAAAGGAGGTGAGGTGTAGAACAGCACTCACCATCCAAAATAAACCTGTGTGGTTATTCAGTAGATGTTCAAGAAGTGCCTGTATTGGCAAAATAAAGGAGAATCTCTCAAATCAGCCCTATCAAATCTCCCCGCCTGTACATGGCTGCTGGATCAATAAATGCAGCATGACTTGGAGCAGGCAGCAGTTTTTTTTAGGGCATTGTGGAGAGCACACGAACGTATAAAAGTCCCACAATTCTCCCCTGTGTTGCAGGCACACACAAACACACTCCACTGGATACACAGGAGAAACAAATACACACGTGCAGTCAAGCATAGATGGAACACACTTGTCTACCCAACTTTTGGTCCCTCTCATTTTTAAAATCAATAACACATTACAGCAGTTCCTGAAGAAGTAGAATGCAGGCCGGGGGATTCATCACAGCTCAGCACATGCACGTGTGTTCAGCCTTGCCAGCGAAAAACCAGTGTCTCCATCATTACAAAGCAGCATGTTGCTCTGCCAAGAAGCTCTGAGAAATGTCCTTTTAAATTCTCGCCACGATTCGATTTCTAAAGATAGCAGAGACTGTATATCAGGGTGAATCATGGGGAAATGTGTGCAAAGTAATGCAAGACAAATATACCTCCTTTCCATAACATGCAATCATTTGTTTGAGTATTAGAATATTTTGACTTCATAAGAGCAACAGCAGCTGATTCACCAGTCTTAGTTTCACATAATGCCAGTGGTTTAACTTCTTGGGTGTGTCAGTACAGAGGGACATCTCTTCATGAAATTAAGAGCCATAGAAGAGGTGCAGATTTTGCAATCAATACTGGCCCACATACAAGTGAGACAGCTAAATAATTATGCATTTTGTGTGTCTTCAGTATTCTTCACTCCATAACTATGTCATGCCTTTGCCATATATAGGGTAAAAAAAATGGGCATTTGGAAGTGGGTATACCCGTGCTGGCTGAAAAATAAGTAGGTATACTCCATATAGCTGCACATACCTTGCACTACACCACTGCTTATACTGCTTTATACTGTATACTAGAGTTGTGTGCCTTGTTGAGGAGTCCATGGTGGCCAAAAACAACATGCAGCTTTAAGTTTAGCAAAAAAAAAAAGATCATGCTCAGAAAAATAATATTGATGGTTAGCCTGAGATGGTGTGCAAACTCAAACCAGACACGCTACATAAAAAGGACGCACTACTATCTGCTATGTTACTGAATGGTTGGTAATAAATGATGTGCTGCTGAAGACGAATTTCCAAGGGATAATGGGAAGTTAACACATTCATATTTCACAGCAGTTTTATTTCCTGCAGACCTCGGTTTTCCCTGTTTACTTGGTGGACCGCGGAGATACCATTTATAAAGCGTCTGTGCTTGTGTGTGCATGATGTGGGTGAATAAAATAAGAGAGTGGGAGCTGCATGTGTCTGCATTTGCCTGCATTTGCCTGTGTGTGCTGACCGCTAACCAGCTTCTATAAACCAGTGAGCTGCAGGGCTTCTTCATAGTAATGGCTGGTGCACAGGCACAGCAGCTTGGTAGATCCATCACTGTGGTTCACACTGCATCTCTCACACACACGCACACACACGGACACGCACAGGCGTCGAAGGCGAATGCTGCCACTTTAACACAAACACGTCTGTGTTTTGGAGTAAGTGAACTGACAGAACGGAAGAGGAGAGCTGCTCACCTGAAGAACGTGACAAAGAACTGCACCAGATCCATGAAGTTACTGTGCTGGGAGAAGGCGATCTGCAGAAGGGGAAAAAAAAAAAACAATAGACAGAGTCAGAAATCTGCTTTAATAAGGGAGATTTTTAAAACAAGAGGTCAGCACTATACACTCATAAACATGCAAGCTTTACACTGGAGTCGACCTTGATCTGACTGAAGGCACACAAACGAGCAGGAGAGATAATGCTGCCTCCGCACACAATGGCAGACAGTGCATTTGTATGTATTGTATATTGTTGGTCATACATGTATATTTATGACACTATGTTGCCAACCTGTGCCTTTACATGCATAAATAATAGCACATATATTTCTCACGATCCGCAAGCTACATCACAGTCTTGAGATAAGATTGCAAAGGCTTTTTTTTTTCCTACTGGATCTCACAACTCATCATTTACAACCACTGGGAGGTTCCCAGTCTGTCTGCTTATCTGTGTTCCAGACTGCATGCCTGTCAATGTGACAACACGCCAGTAGCCGGGCCTCTCAGCTGCCCACAGCCTGCGCGAGAAAACATAATTCCTGCACATGTGGGCAGAAATATTCACTATATAATCATCACAAGAGCAATTGTACTAACGACATCCTGTCTTAATCAAGGTTGCCAGGGGTAACATTGGCAGCGCCGTACCACTTCCCCACCTCGCCCCCCCCCCCCCCCTCCTCCTCCTCCTCCTCTCGACTCTTATGCCTAAAAGCCCCCCCCCCAAAAAAAAGCTTCAAAATGAATAACACAACACTGCCTCTCTCTGGTAACATCAGGGTACCGCGCCTCCTGCCCGCAGCAGAATTCCCCTCACACGTCTTTTCTCCGAGGTGACACCTTGGACCAGAACTTATCACCGCTCCTGCTTATTATTCCTCTGCAAAGGGGGGATTTGCATACAATTCCAGCGGAAAAAAGGGGGCAGGAGGAAGAAAAAAAGAAAGAAAGACAAAAGCCGGAAAAACTGTGTGAATGTCAGATTAGTCTATGAATACTTAATATGTGATCAAGAATTACAATACATGCATAGAAAAACTTGATGGGTCAGAATGTGTATAAATCTACAGTGACTTTACACAAGAACAACACAGGGCCACAGGCACTGGCCTCTATGGCGAGATGACAGGGGGTTGTGTGTGTGTGTTTGGTGAACGGCCCGGGGTCTAATTTACTTGTGTAGTCAGCACCATCTGGCTCACTAATGTGTGGCTGTTGATTACTGTTGAGCGCCGAATCCTCAGTGTGATAATTTTCCTCCAGACTGTTGAACACTGACAAGAAGTTCAGGGTGCCAGTAAACCCGGAGAAAAACTTTTAAAAAGATGTCGGCGGTGTAGAACTCAGTAGGTAACCAACGCCAGAGTGGATATTGTAGAGGGCGGGTCGAAGCGCTAATGCTGCCAAGTTACAGTGTTTCATGTCAATCAGGGCACAAATGTGCAAATACTTGGTTGCATATTGGTCTTAGTTGTTTTTAGGATGAAATCCTGAGTGTATTACAAATATTCAATGCATGCATTTCTGCTTAATTTTTTATTTCATGACATTCTTTGTGTCATTTTTCAGTAACTCATTATTATTGAATTCTTGCCTTTCCTAGTTAAATAAAGGTGAAAAAATGGCCATAGCAAGTCCTTCGGTAACTCATTATTATTGAATTCTTGCCTTTCCTAGTTAAATAAAGGTGAAAAAATGGCCATAGCAAGTCCTTCGAGCCCAAGTTGGTGTGTTAAGGTTGCATTTTACGCCCAACTAACAGTTCAGTGCTCAAATGAATAAAATTTTTAGTGATTTAAAACAGAGAGAAGCAGAAAATGCTCACATTTGCGAGGCTGGCAAAAGCAACTGCATGCAATTTTGCTTGTTAAATGACTCAGTTATTATAAAAATAGTGAAACTAATCAATTAATTTCATTGCTTTAGCTTTATTCTTAACTGGGGGGCACAGAAAATATGGCAGTGTGACATTAACAGGCAGAAACAATATTTTTGTTTTTGCTTACTACTTCTCACTCTCTTTTTGACACTACAATCCAAAATACTTTGAAGCAGCTGCTCTACTTTCCAGACTCTGCCCACTTCCTCAGTGCTACTCCAACATAAACAGGATTTAAAAAGGAGGAGAAAAAAAAGCCTTTTCCTGTACCTTCACAAAGCACTAAACTACTACTGCTACTTGCAATTAAGAGAAAATAGTTTTTGAAGGAATATTTTACTTCCTGTGCTCATGAATGTAAATGGGAGGTAAAAATGAAAGGCTTGAAGAAAAACTACCGGAGATTGTATGAAACTCTGAGTGGCAGGGATTCTTTTAAGAGCAAAGAGTTATCAAAGAAGCCTTGTCAGCTGGTGTACTGGAAGCCGGGCTGCTTTGTGACAGCAGCCTAACAAAGCCATCTACTTCTCTAGGTGATTAGAGATACATAATGTTCTTTTCCGATGACACAATAGCCCTTTTCAGCAACATCCACTTCCTCAACACAAGAAAAAGCAACGAGGGGCGCTGCAGCATCATGTCATCACTGCATAACTCCATTTTGAAAAGTACAAGCAGGCCATCTTGCTGAGAAGATGTGTGATAACAGTTATTGTAGCGGGTAATCTCAAGTGTCAGTCGTGTGGTGCCGTGTCACCAAGAGGCAGGCCAATGGTGGCGGCGGGAGGCCCGGGTGACACTCTCGTTATGTGCCCAGCAGAGGGTGACTCTTTAGGGGCCGCAAAGGATCTCGCAGCAGGGCCTGTCAGCCTGCCTCCAGGCATTAAGATGGGAAATATTCTGCCTTTAATGGCTTCTGACAGCCGCTTGAACTATTTTGGAGTTTTGAAGGAAAGTGTCATTATCAGTGCGAGGGAGGGTTGCTCAACAGGTTTTCACAAAAAAAAGGGAAGGACAGATGCAAACAGAATTTTGAATGTGTCTGTGTGTGGGATACTTCTATGAATGTGTGCTTTGTCATGTGCCAGACGGTACTGTGTCACAGATTATTCAGGACCAATTTATTTGAAGGCGTGTGTATAAGACTGACATGGCACTGTCATGAACATGGAGGAATCTTTATGAATGTTTATGACAGTTTTCATTAAGTCAGTAGCTGACCGTCATGGTGTGGTCATGATGGTGTCATGATGGTGTCATGATAGTGTAATGTCAGTCTAATGGAAAATAACCCCTTCAAATAGAGTGGTACTGAATATTCCTTCTTAGATTTGGTTGAAAACAGAACAAGCCATCAGCCAAATGCAGACAAAGCAGGTAAATTATTCACTGTACTAGTGCAATAATCTGCCTTATTTTGAAATTTCATCTATTTTCAACAGTCAGTATATTTTTTTGCCATCTTAACAGAGTGGTTGTAAGGATGGTAATATTGGTCTGTCTGTCCACCTCAATGGTACGGACTGAACTGCATCGACACCTAAAGGATGGATTGTATGATATTTTGTACATTCATGGTTCCCAGACGATGTATCTGACTGACTTTGGTGATCCCCTTACTCTTTCCTCTACTGAATCCTCTGTGGTGTTCCCATTTGTGTTTATTAGTGAAATGTATGAGATGGACTGCCATGACATTTTTGAAAATTGCAATATTTTTAACTTTTCATTTAGAGCCATCATTAATGACGAAATTTTAATTTAAACATCAGCATGTTACCATTGTTAGCATGTGAGCATTCTGGTGTGTAATTACAAGCTGATTTAGTAGTTGATGTTCACACGCATCTCAATAATATGACTTATATGACTTAATATGATTTATTTTAATTTTGTTTTGTTTAATATTTGACAAGAGTTTTGTCTAATATAATGCTCAACATGCAACACAGCTGCTTACATGGTTTTTTTATATTTATTTTTTGTTTATATATTAAAATGTATTTATTTGATTACATTTAATTTCTTATATCTTATTTTTATTTTCATTTTACATGTTAAACTAGGTAAAACATCCATGGTAGCTTTTATTTAGTTAAATTCGCTGTTAAAAAAAAAAAAAACAAGTATCTGGCTGAGTTTTGGTCGTACCCAGCATTGTTACAGGCTGGCAAAACTGCTCAGTTTCTGTTTCCTAACCTCTCTGTGATCAGTATCAAGACGAACACATCAGGCAGCCATGCATGGCCCAGATAAACATTACACGAGCCCACAAAGATACGCAGAGCGGCCCAGCCAGCTGATAGCTACAGCTGCTGCTACTCCACAGCAGGGCATTAAATTGGAGGCTGTTCTAATCTCTACCATATCATGACATGTTCACTAAGGCACGGAACAGGAGATCACAGCTCTTTAATGTAATTAGTCTGGGATTTGCGTTTCATTACAAACATCATTAAATTCAGATCTATTCTTCATCAGGAAAGGGAAAAAAAGAGAAAAAAGAGGGTGGGAGAAACTCCTCGCTGACTAATCTCAGTGCAATTGATTTTACTTTGATGATGCGAGCTCAGTGAAGAAGTCATCACAGAATTCACTTTGACTATTGTAAAAGATCTAATTTTTGGTCGGTCAAAATGATTATATCAGAGTGTTTTTTCCTGCAATCCAACAACATCTGTGCTTTTTAGAAGTTGTGCATATTTTATCTGATACACATTTAGAGGAAGACTGCTACACCAAGAACTGGAATTCACCGTTCAGTTTTGGGGTTTTTTTTTGGGGGGGGTAATGTGTGCTGGGGATTCAGTGCAACACATCGGGTGGTGATTGCAACAAGTGGAGTCAATGCAAACAGACAAAAACAAACTTGCTGCTCTGACACTACTTCCGACCATGTGAAAGCAAACAGAGGCAACCTTGAGGTGGTGCATCAGTTAGTGAAAGAGAGAAAGAGGCCGAGCTGTGTATAGCTGCACACTAAAGCTGGGAGAGAGAGAGAGAGAGAGCTTAGCTTGCACACAGCCCACTCTGAATGCAGCATGTGTTTCAACTTAACATTCCACTTTGCCCTTGCTCTTTCTCGGCTGCTGTTTATGAACCGTTTTTCCAACACTCCGATCTCTGCCTGCCAACACTGGAGGACCAACCGCCTACGATTATACACACACACACACACACACACACACACACACACATCCCAATGCCACACTGCAGCAGACCACTGACGGCAAGGAGAGTTAAAAAAGGCAACCGAAGAAAGGAAAGCCTGTTATCATGAAGAAAGAGCGGGGGGAAATGATTAAGACAAGGAGAAGTGGCAGAAAAAGAAAGAGAAACAAGCGCAAAATGTTACCTCGCTGACGAAGGTAAAGTTCCATGAGTGCAAGGGAAAAAATGACACGCTAGCAGATTTGCTCGCTTTAGTTTCAAGTACAGGGGTGATCTTCTATATAATCCCACCAACCAAGACAGAAGGTGAGGTGGACCAGAGGAGGCTGAGAAGGGGGGGTGGCTCTCTCAACTCAGCTCAGCTCTCTGGTTCTGCTGTGGAGCTGCACTGAAGACTTCTTGAGGCTGGCTGGCAGCAGCTGGAGCTCAGAAGCTGAGAAAACTAAAAGCCCTCAGAAGGCAAGACATGGAAGATGAAGGCAGGATTTTTTTTTCCCTACAGGAGGAGGGCAGGGGGAAGGAGCTTGCACGGGGCAACCAGTCAAATCACTTCCAGAGCTCGTCTGGGAGGCACACAGGCAGGCAGGCAGCACGGAGGGCACAAAAAGCCAGGCCCAGAGCACCTCAAGCTCCCAAACCAGCACCAGCCACTCCTGGTGGCACATTCCCTTACTATTTCATACTCTTCTACACCTCTGAAGCACTGATAGTAAATGCATTTCAACAAATCTAGTTCATGTCCGTCAGATCAATGTGAAAGGCATTTCTTCAAACGTACTAAGATCTGTTGGTACTAGAGAGTCGTCCTTGTCCTCATATAGTAATCCTCAGCTGAGTTCCTTATTGTCTATATCATATTACAGAGAGTATTATTATGCTTATACCATGGCAACAAACTACAAGGCAAAATAGAAACGGTCTTTCGAAACCACATCAAAAGTTGTTTTAGGAAATAAGCACTTAATTTCTGGAAAACTGTCAATCCTATCAAATCTGCCTTTATTCACCTTGTTTCAAAAGGAAACACTTCACATTTAGGGAGAAATGATACCAATTCATGGGACTTTTAAAAAGGGTTGTAGTCTATCTAAAAACCCTGTGTAAAAGGTTCCTGATTATGGTGCCTCTGGTGCTATATGAAAATGACAGATATAATAGTAGCCCTATAATAAATCCTTTTGTTGAATCTGTTTTTATAATGGCGTTGATTCAGGTTTTTCCAATATCTAGTGTTAGTATTAGTACTATTGGTGAAGTTTGAGCATAGAATATTGAAAAGAACATTAACCAATAACCGATATCTGAGTTATAAAGTTGATTATAAGATGTTTATGGACACCTGCGGACCAATCAAAAACATGTCTATGATAAATGCAAACTGAGTAAGGTGATGACAACACAGAATATCGGGCAAATGGACATTTTACACATTAAAGCCTTTTTTTACAGTGAAAAAATCCACACTGAATAAACAGACTAAAATGAGTCGACTTTCATCCTGTTGCAAATTAAGTTCTTAGAGGCATTAAACCCCAACATTACGCTGACATGACTTCTGTCACAGGCGTACAGTAAGAGCACTATTGAGAGACAGTTTGCTCTCCAGCAGCCATCCACATGGCAGCGCTTCACCTAGCGCAGCGATTGTAGCTCGGCTGCATAAACACAAACCGCCAGCTACCGGGCAAGCAGACATAGAGTCCTATTCACTACTACTGCCAAGGAGCCACATCAACACTGAAGAAAAGCTCCTGCACACCAAATGCAGGAAACCGCCCCCCCGCCCATCTGACCACATTTTACTGGTGACTGCCAACATTTACATTTTACCAGCCAACTCTTTGGTTTATAAAGTAGAAAAGTGGCTTTTAAATCAGACAAGTTGACCAGTCACAGTGCAAACTGACCACAGTATGTGTATGCAAGCATGTATGTGTTAGTGTTTATTTGCCCACATAGACACAAGCCGAATATGGGATAACTCTGCACATGAAAACACATTTGCAGAAATGAATTAATGGCATTTTGTAGATGCTTTTATTTAAAGTGCATGAATACATACATTTCAGCACAAGTATCACTGCTACAGTCAGTAAATATTCAGGACAGCTTGGCCTGTTTAGGTTTATACTCGTGCTCTTCTTAAGTAAATCATATTTTTATCATGCGTTATGTTCTATATGTATTACTAGAAGAAGCGACATGTCTTGGCATTAAAGCTGCACTGGGTTAATGGCGTGTGAGACATCTGTCATAATTCAATATTGTGTTAAAGTGCAACGCAGATGATCATTTCTCTCACATTTCTCATTGTGACTTTCCCTTTCTGTCACATTTTGTTCACACGTTCCCAAGCATCACCATCATTTTTGCTTTCCCATGTGGTCAAAGCACAAGAGACTCCCATATATAGAGTTCAAGCACCAGCTTTCTTCCCTGTTCAACTTATCAGTCAGTGGAGGCCGATCCTTGGACGTCATAGCTGAATGTGTCGTTCTCAATATTAAATCTGGTCATTTAACATGAAACTAAAGCATCACAATGACTGGAAATGAGTTGCTCGTCTGTTGTGGATTTCAGCAGACAAAATGCAATTTCATTTTTATATTGCAACTTAAGGTGGTGATTCCTAAAATGTGTATTGCTGTGAATTAAGAATAGTGGACAGTAACGATCATAACTTTAACACGATATGGTTTGAACGCATTGCAATACAGTTGCCTGCTCTTCACCTACCTTTTCTTAAAAATGTAGGCATGTGCTTTTATTTTAGCGAAACATACAATCACTGGTTAAAATGCAGTAATAACACACACATCTAGTGAAGCATAGAAGACTAATTAATGTCATTATATTGCGGCACAAACTATGTCATTACTGTATTTCGTCTTGAGCTAAAGCTTACTTGAATCTTAATGGGCCATGTGAAGTTGCTGACATAGACAAAGAACGTTATATTGAGGCTGTTGCGGAAGTCAAAGTTCTCGTTGGAGAAGCTGTCTTTGAACTCCTTGATGTTGCTCCGAGAGACGATGAGGATCTCCTCCCCGGTCTGGGTGCCTGCTGAAAGACAGAAAGAAGAGCAGAAAAGAGGGGCAGAAGGTGGAGAAGGGAAACCAGAGTGTGACAGAGAGTGATGAAGAGAAATTGGAGGAAGAACATGTAATATGGGGTGGGGGGGTAATAAGATAAAGACAGATGAATGAAGACAGGGAGATACAGTAGACATTAAATGGCTGTATTTCTACAAACTTAAACATGAAAATGGTTTTCCTCTATACTACATAAACTCTGAGAACACAAACTTACTGGAATTGAGGATTTTTTCATCCAAATCAAACATGACAGCACTCTCTTAATGTGATTACCCCATTTTAGGTAACCAAACATCAACAATTAAATATTACAGGAGGGAAAGTAATAAACTACCAATTCACTTTTAAATCAATATGCAAGACTACTACCAGGCTGTTACCTGATGCATCTTTACCTTCATCTTACATTTAGCAAAACAAAACAATCTGATCTAAATGTTCCTTGTTGTATTAAACTGCGGAAAAGGCCTACAGGATGAAGACACCTGGCCTGGCAACCCGAGGACAGAGGATGGGTGGGAGCTGCCACCTGCTGCCACCTTCTGTTTCACTGAATTAAGTCTGAAGTGTTCAGCTGCAATTAATCATTTTCACAGAAAAAACTGGGACTGTTTGTTGAGGCGTACCTGTGAAGCTAGTGGCCCAGGTTATGTTCAGGTTGAAATTCTTGGAGGCGTTTATGAACATGTCTAGATCCCGGTTTGGCTGAGGAGGGAGAGAGAACACAGAAAACACGCAGTCACCACCATCATCATCATCATCATCATCATCATCATCTTTAAGTCCCAGATATCACATAAATGTACAGTGGACAGGGATGGACCAGGACTAAAAGGGTTGCTCTGCTTTACTGCAAATCATTGTAGAGCAGAGAAACCAGACCATTTCACAGCTGTACAAACAGTTACTGTATTGCAGACTAGAGCAAATTTGCACAGCTAATGGAAGCTGAATTAGCAAAACAAATGTTTGAACATGAGTCAATGAGGAAAATGATACGTATCCAGATACTGTATGTGCAGTTGTGCAGTGTTATCAGCTTTGATAACATCATGTAGGTGTAAATTAAGACCTAATTCATGTTTACTTACTGATTGAAAGGCAGTGTTAATAATCATTGAAATAGCTTTAGTGGAGATTAATGCTTAAAGAGGCTCAATTAAGGAAAATTCTAAATATTTTCTTAATTCATTATCAATTATGCACACCTCTAGCTGACAGAGGGACTGCAGTTCTGCATTTGTTCCCAGTTGGTAAAAGCGTTGTCAGGGGAAAGATGCCATCTGGGTTATCTAATCGGATGCTTGTGTTTCAGTTTGGGCTCCAGATGCTGCAGCCAGGTAAACAGGACTGGACAAGCTTTCATTTGCTGGCAAAACATCTGTGTGACTGACTGTGTGAGGAGTGTAGATCACACTACGACATTACATTTCAGTCTGTTTTTGCTCATCCGTGGCACACTGACTTGTACTGGGGGAAGTGTCGAGCCTGAGGGGGTTTTTTTCCCCTCAATTTGTTCATTATATTAAGAGTGAGTGGGGCCCGTTCTGTTTATTTCATTAGTTAGTTTGTTTTTTGGTATGATTTTTCATCTTATTATTTATCAATTATGCTTATGTTTATATTATTATATACCATTTTTTTTGGCTGTTCTATATTATTGTTCTTTGGTAGCTTGATATATTGTAATATTTTTAATTATGTAGTTACACCCTTTTATGTACAAGAGTCTCCCTTTAAAAAAAAAGATCTCAGTCTCAATGGGCCTATCCCAACTTAATTTAGATACCATTATGATATAATACTGCTAAACAGTTTGCTGTTATACTGTTTCCCTTCTGTTAACTGGGTTGTTATGGTTGCTGCTTGTTTTTCTTATGAAATTAAAATCTCTCTCATTACTTCTGAAGATTTTAATACAATATACTCAAGCATTTTGAGTGCTACTTGTAATTGCTTTCTTTAATGTGGAGCTAAATGATTATTGTGTATGTAAATTAAGTGCTGTGGGTGTCTGCGCCGTTATCTATGCTGCTGTCTGTCCAATGAAAAGCATTTATCTCCAAATTTGGTGACTCAGAATGAAGTGTTCCTTCCTTTATAATTCTTCTTTAACTAAATAAACCATTAAAAACCCCTTTGCATTTGCTGAAAAATGCACTGTCACCATATTGAAAAAGGGGGCTGTTATTCTCAGCTCATGTAAAGTTGACATTTTGGAGAAATTATATTTGTTCTTGTGCACAGGTCTCTCTTAAAAAGGAGATGTTGACTAACCATAGCATTTTCACTCATGTTAATCACTGTTATCACCAAAATGCTAAAGACACAACTGGAGAAGTGTCTTCGGAAGAAACCTGTTTGACAATAACCGAGGGGGTATACCACCACCACCATCATCATCTGGTGCTGACTATACAATCTTTAATCCTAATAAAAGTGACAGCTGCTGCGACGGCGGGGCGTTCACTGTCAGAGACATACCTCCTCAGGTGTGGCCACGAAGTTGATGGCGGTGTAGTAGCGGTCGTCCTCTTGCGACAGGCTGAAGGTGAACTGGTAGTCGATGAGGAGCGTGTCTGTTTGAAGTGATCGAGCCGGCGGAGTGGGTGTGGGAGAGCGTGGTGGGGATTACAAAAGAAGAAGAAGAAAAGCTCGATTAGCCGAGTTTGAAAGTCACACAAGAACATGTTCTCACACAGCGCTCGGGGCAGGAAATTACCCAGATCCACATTCTTTTCCTATTTCAAGACTCTATTGACTTTCTTGGATGGACCTGAAGATTTTAGAGTGTGCTGTCAGTTGTCTGTGAAGAAGGTCATGAAGGCTGGGTTGTATGGCTGTGTGCAGGCCTGCATTAAAATACAGCTGGAGATCACTGCCTCTGGATCACGATAATATATAAAAAGTCAGTGAGTTTACAAACAGAGAGTCATGCACGAACCAGGCACGAACCAAATCATTCTCCCATGTGTTCCAGATTTTTCTGTCCACTTTTTTACACCTCTCTTTATAATGCATTTTACGTTCTCTTGCAGACTTTAAAAACCTGCATAGGAAAGCTACTTTCCTTTCACGCTTACTGACCGTACTGGCTACTCACATTACATTAGATACGTACTGTGGATACTAAAAGTATCAGTTTCTCGTCTGTCTGCACTACCTCACCTACTCATGTGCTTTCAGGTCTCTCTCCCATTACATGCCACTTTTTCATGCAACTTGAGGTGACAGGTGACGTCACCTCAAATGTTTCATTCTGCCAACAGTCTAACACCCAAAGAAATTACAATAGGGAAAAGTAGCAAAATCCTCAGATTGTTTGGCACCAACGACCCAAATTCTGTCTAATAATTTACATTGTGAATAGAAACACCCCTTCAAGACAGTCACAAAAAAAGAGTTGTGGAAACCACATTGAACAACACAAACTGACCCATGTGATTCTTCTATTGATGCAAGTTGATACAAGTGCTCCAACTTTGTCAACTCCCCCTGGTCTACCATTATTAATAGCTCTTTCTAGGGGTGTGCATACCATATTGTTCACGACAGTATCCATAGAATATGATTAAAAAGGAATATAAATGGTGATATTGGCAATATTCTGACTTGTTGGCATAATGGCGTCACACCCTGATGCACAGCAACAAGAAACATGGCTGAAAGTGAAAGTAACGCTGCTACTAGCTCCAGGGTGGAGCAGTTAGTGCCAAAAAGGGGAGCGATTTCAGTAGCTAAGATTTATGTTACAAAGACCCTGAAATATCAAGATATTATTTCAGAGCCATATATCACCCACTCCTGGCTCCTTCTGTATTCCTAAAAAGTATTATCAGATTAAGAAATAATGAGGAATGAGTGTTTGTGGACAATGGAGGACAAAGTAAGTTAAATTCCATGTTTTATCAGATGTACCAATTTCCTATCTACATGATTATATTCTAAATAATCACAACTGTCAAGAATAATAATGACAGGAGACTAATCTGCAGTGTGGACCGCCATACTGCAGTCTGTCACTGCAGCAGGAGAAACACAAAGACGGTCCTTAAAAACATCTGTGTCTCTTTCCACCCGCGACTTTTTAAAAAAGGTTTCTCCTCCGGCTTTTGTTTCTTTATTACATCAAACTACTTCAGACCTACTTTGATTTTAAGAGCCATGTAACTGTCTTGGCATTGACCTGAACAAGGGAGAAGACTAAGGCCTCACGGTGGCTTTTTTTAATGTATGAAGCTGGTAATTGGAATTCCACTTACAGTAGCATGTTCCTTTGAGGGGGTTGCCTTGGTAACGATTCTCAACTTCACACCTGAACGAGAGGGATGGAGGATGGGATGAACGGAAATGAGGCAAAACATGGGGTAGATGGAGAAAGAAGGGGAAGAAAAGAAGGCAGAGAGGAAGAAAAGTGGATCAGATTTAATTGCTAATAAAAACAAAGCTGTAGGAAATCCATGTGTCAGATACGGAGCTGAGAGAACACACTGTTGACCTTCAGTCGGTGAGAGTGCGATGAAAAGAAAACAGAGAAAGAAGAAAGAGCGAAGAAGCTGACAGACATCACAAACAGAAACCTTCTGACTACAAAAGCTTTCAAAAAGACAAAAATAGCCTAATTTTCATACTGATGACCACTCATTCCTGAAAGTGTATCCTAAGTTTTTAATGGGTTTTGGGAAGCCCAATGGTAATGAGGGCCAAAGTTAAGATTAGTGCTGCTACTGCAGCACTAATGAACAGCTGCTACTACAGTGTGCCAGTAAAACAAAAAGGCAGAGGGTATTGACTTTTCTTAAAATCTAAACATATTAACATCCACCCACGCAGGTCTTTACTTTCTCAAACAATCATTGGATTTAAAACATTATTGCAAATCAAAAAAAGGGTCTTGACTTCTGAAAACATGCAAATACAGATTATATCATGTTTTACAGTTATTCTTCCTCCTCTACTAGCACTACTGAAGACCAGTGTTCAGTTGCTGCATGAATGAAGTTCACACAACTCAAGCACACAGCCTTAGCAGCCTCGAGGCTTTGTTGTTTTTTTGTTTTAACTGCCTGATAATTCCTGGGAACATTAGAAAGTACGATCCCCAGTTTAATTGCTCGTCCACAACGAATCCTGTAAAAAGTTATGTGGTTCACTGTCACACAAACAGTATCTGACGGGCATATGGACAAAAAAAAAAAAAAGACTAAATCATATTCCCCCTCCCATAATTTAACTGTGAGGGGCTAAGACATGACAGCCCAAGTGTAGAAGAGAATGAGAGAGAACAGAGGAGGAAATCTGATGGAAAAGGCAGAACTCACAGGTGGCAGCGATCTCCTTTGATGCCTTTAGTGGTGCAGAAGCACTTGCCGTTGTTGGGGTTGCACATGCTTGCATGGCCGTTACACTTGCAGGCTGAACAAAAGACATAAAACATTAGAATTGTAAAATGAGTTGAAGCCCCTCAGTAAAACAATACCATACCATTTTTAACATTTAATGACTGCTATCACTCTAGATAAGAGAATATTGACTGTACGTAATTATATAGAGGGTGATAGATTAACTCTTATGTAATATGAATGGGAACTCCCTTTTTCTTTGCAGAATACGGAGTAAAAACTGTATGATATTAAGCAATTAAATAATAAAACAAAAACATTTTGTTATGCTGTGAGTCAAGTACATTTAATTCAACATTTACCCATAGGTTTATGTATAAGAAATATGATGTTTTTACTAAATAAGAGCTTTTCTTGTACATCTTGAATGTACTTTGACACAGTTGTGACAGATTTGATGGCAACTCTGCTTTCCTGAATGTTTCTTGCCCCCTAGGATCAGGTCAGATATTCCCAACTCACCCTCACCACACACAGATGTGATAATAAGTTTGGCTGAAGGTGTTCAGGTACCAGGTACAGTTATGAACTACCTCTATGGCCCCTTTTCCAACAAAGTAGTTTTTGATTGAACCGGATCCGTTCAAGATTCTTGGAACCTTGGTGCTACCTAGTGAACCAGCCGATTGATGAACCATTGTAAACGGATGCTTCATCAACAGGGGGCGCTGCACAGTGCACAACAACCTGTAGAATATGACACACCCACTCTGGTTCCCAAGGACCATCTGCAATTTTTTGGTTCCAGCTGGGAACCAACTTTTTTTGGTTCTGAACCACTTTTTGTTTGATAGAAATACTCTGAACGGTTAAAAACTAGGTGACTGCACCAGAACAGAGCCGGTTCCCTGTTAAGGGAACAGGCCTATATGTGTCCAATAGAAAAGAACTACTTTGGTTCAGGTCAGGGAAGGCAGTTCGTCCCAAGCGCCCCCCCTCAAGGCTTTTTTTTTGTCATTGCTGACTTTAGTTTTATAGTTCCCCAGGGGGCCCCTGGAGCCACCTTTTTCAGAAGCGCACCAAGAGACTCCAATGTTGTTCACCGCATGGACACAAACAACAGTCTGTAGCCCTGTCTGCAACACAGCGTTTCATTCTCCAAGGAAAGGACAAGAAGGGGGGGGGGGATGTCCCAAAAAGTTTTGTTCCACAAACAATTAAATACTTCATCTCCCACAAGAGCTCCAGCTCCTTCCGCAGCAGAGGGTGACTTTCCACACCCCATGAGACCATTTCGGTGGGTGTTAACAGATGCCAAATGTCTACATGTATTAGGTTTGGCGAGACAGCTGGTGGAACAACAAGCCATGCTATGATTTATCCTTATTTATATGTGTGCTTGGTCTTTATTTGTTCTGTTTACTTATGCTCATAATGCCTCCTGAGTCACACTGATATAAACAATGCCATGATTAGCTGTGAAGTAAAACGTGTCTATTGAGAAGCACTTTGCTGTACAACCAGAAGGCGGAAAATAAGAAGCATAAACAACGAATGCATAATACCGACAGATGAAGATATGCAGAGAGTCTGGGTTATTGATTGGCTGTCTCTGATGTAGAACCAAGTAAATATATATTCCAGAGGGACACATGAAATTACAGCAAAAAAAAAAAAAAAAAAAAAACATACAGCATGTCTGTAAGGTATTGGTAAGCTAAATTAAACTGTCGAAGGAATGGCCGATAGATTTGTTGTCAGATTGACTGACTGTCAGTATTAGCCATAGAGCGGAGTAAAGCTTTAATATCCCACAGGGCCGCTTTACTGTGCAGCCAGGAATCAGGAAAATGGCCGACATAAAACTGAACTGTAAAATACTGACAAGTTAAATGAAGCTGTGCGCAGAAAGACTGACTGGTTGATTTAGTGCTGACTGAAGGGCCCGCGGATACTCACGCTGGCAGCTGCCCCCGTTGGTCGGGTCTCCGTAGAAGCCGGAGACGCAACTCTCGCAGTGTCGGCCCGTTGTCAGGTCCTCGCACTTCTCGCATACACTCTCATTGATGCACTGGCTGTGACCGTTACACTGACAGGCTGCCAAAGAGTAAACAAAGCACACACACACACACTTCTTTTAAATAAACAGCCCCAGGCCCAAACATGAATGAATTTTCTAATTTGTTAGAAGAGAAAGTGACGTGCAGTCTGGGATCTGCACGAGTTCTGAACTTCTTAAACTACAAAACAAGCTCATTCTTCCCTACCTGGGCAGTGGATGAAGGACCAGTTGTATTTGGCCTCGCCGGGGCACATGCTGGCGTTGAGGGCCGGCTGGGGGCTGGCGGGAAGGCCGGGCAGAGTGGACGGGGCCGGGACGGAGGTCTGGAAGGGCCCACGATACGAACCCTCGATGCACTGACCTTTGCCCGTGTTACTGGGGTCTGTGCACCAACCGCAGCCCGGCTGGTCCAGACACTGGCCACATGTTCTGTACCCGGAGCAGTTCTCCGCTGCAGCAAAACACACAGCACGGCACCAGTTATAAAACAATGCAGGATATTGATTACTGTGAAGACTGATATAATGATTGTTTTTGAAAAATCTGTTTTTTTTAAATCCACCAGTGTCACAAAAACAGGGCAGTCAGTGTCAGTAAATGAATGAATTAGTGAGCTTTGGACAGAGGCAGGCTAGCGGTTTCCCCCTGCTTCCAGTCTTTATTTTAAAGCTAAGCTAGTTAGCTGCCATATAGCAATCGTCTTTATTATTGTAGCTGCAGTGCTTTTATCATAAAAATATATACAACTTGTTCGACTTCCGTTAACCAGTGTAAACAAGGCATTCCTGTGGAGAGAGAGCTTGTTCTCAGTGAGGTTCCCTTGTGTAACTAAAGGTTTCAATTAATCAATCACTTACCGTCTTATGAAACATTAATAGCAACAATAACACAGCACCAATAATAAATGGGTAAGAGTGATTCTGTTATTGGGTGTTAGTAAGTAGGGTCTAACATTTCCAAACTTTTGAAATAATAACACCCACAACGCCTCTACAGGGCTCAACAGTTAATTTAGCTCATTCCGCAGCCACTGGTTCTCTCCACCTGCTCTCCATACATATTTGCCTATATTTTAATTCCTAGCTCTCACCCTCTCGAGGGGTTTCTCTGCCTATGGATGTAAGCAACGATTTGTACCTAATTGACCTGCCAGGTTAAATAAATTAAAATGGTTCTCTGCTGCGCCGTACAAAAACAAAGCACCAGCCGGAGACTAAGTTATCAAACTAGTAAACCGGATTATTTATCCCCATCTCATCCACTGGAGGGGCCACAGTTTAAAGCGCTCGGCTAAATGAAGGTTAAACAAACACTGCTCTGCTCCAGAGAGCCATGGTTATTTAAAATGTTGCCTTTCATGGTCTCTTTTTAAAGTCTGATAAAGATTGCTACATATGCATATGAGAACATTAACTGCAACATTACATGATTTATGATTTACTTTGAGTTGAGTTTTTCTCCTTTCGCAGATGGAGGCTCGTGAATCCTGCCTGAGAGGGTGGTAGTTATGCATGTAGCTGTTGCAACTTAATCAGAGGTTTAAATAGTTTAAACATTTCCATGTGTCAGACAGAAAGTGTTATTCTACAGCAACAGAAATTTGTTTGGAATAAATAGGACGAGGACTGTACGAAATGCAGGGGTAGATTTGTGCACTCTTAAAAGTAAACATTTTATGTATAATCAATGGGTTTTGACTCAAGAGATGCCAAAGCCAAGGCTGCCAAAGCAAACACTGCAAAAAGGTTCTTACACAGAGGTATGATCAGATCAATGAGTCAAGTCAAAGGATGAAAAGACATTATAGATTACAAAACAGAATCCAAGAAGTTTACTTGTTACCAAGAGAGGAGGGTAATGCATCGTTTTGCTGCTCCTTACATTTCCCAGGAAGTATGTAAGGATGGAATTTGGTTCTAATTTTATGGATAACAAGAATGTCCTTAAAAGAAAAAGCTTAAATTTACTACAAAATAACATTTTTTCAAGACAGAAAATCATGGACCCCCTAAAATAGAGGTGTTGCCAAGAGGAGTTCAAGAGTTGAAACTGTGAAAGATTAACAGGTTCTAAAGTTTTCAAGGTCTGTATAAACTCTCCTTATATAATTTATAAAAAGGGTACACGTACAGTAACACCTCTACCACTAGTAATACTGATGGACTTAATGCCAAGGATAGTAATGGCAGAAATGTCCTGCCTTTATCAAGCGTTATTAAATCATTTCTTTTTACTTCACTCCTGTATTCTAATAAATATCTGGGGGGGGTTTTAATTTCAGTTTACACACAGATTCTCACGAAGGAATATGAAGGAAACAGAATGCAATTAAATACTTTTTTGTTATTATATGTAAAGAAGTATTAATTAATTTCAGACTCAATATTTCAGATGTGTATATATTAATGTTTAACCAAAATAAAAAAGTAGACAAGATCACAATGATTGTGATACTAAACCTGTAAAGTAATAAACAAGAGTGAGAAAAGAAGAAGAAGAAGAAGAAGAAGGTGTCTTACGTGGACAAGTATTCATGGTGTACCACTCCATGCACTGTCCGAAGGGGAAGGAGGCCACGTAGGCGTTGGAGTCGACGCACTGCTTCATGTTGCTGCACCACATACACTCAGAGCTGCTGCTGGTGCACTCGCTGCAGGTGGTTCTCATGGCACACGGTGTCCGGCATGGTTTGGCACTGTGGTTGGCTGAGGAACATTTTAAAAGAGGTTACCTTCAAGGCTCTCAGGGTATGAATGTGTCAGTGGGAGTTAGACCTCCTCTGGTGGTTCTCTTCATGCTGAACTCTACTGGACTGTGATAAACAAGGCGTTACTAAATTTAATCTAAATAAAAATAATGGGCTATGTTAATATTAATACATTACGTATAAAATATTAAGGAACAGCTTGTAGGGATTTTCTTTCTTAATGCAATGCAGAGCTATTCACTTGAATTATTAAGGAAAATACAAGTATTGGTTCAGGACTCGGTAGCAATCGTGGCCTTTCACTGATGATGACTACTACATATCTGGTATTGTGACATTCCTACTTAGAATGAGCCGTTTCTATCTACAGAGGCTACCATGTTGAACCACCATGTTGAACCCCCATGTTTCTACAGTAGCCCAGAAAGGACAAAGCAAACACTGGCTGGAGATAGAGCCTTTCATGTTTTTCGAGAGTTTTGCGACCACAGTAGTTTCTATGTCTCCAACATTGCTTGGAGGCGAGTTGGTTGCAATCTGCAACTACACTGCAAGATGCTACTAAATCCTACACAGCAGACCTTTGAAGGGGTTAGCAGCAGTTTAGTAATGTACTTCCATAACACATTACAAACAAGCACGGAAAACCAAAGTCTGAGCCTTTAATGTCGAAGTATTTACCTGACATTTCCAGAACATGGTGGTTGTTTATTCAGGTGAGTTACCATGAATCAGCATGTAATCTACTAGCTACTGTATTTGCTGAAAATGAATTGTTCCAGGCATAAACTATTCTCATTATTTCCGTTTGTTTACTAGTTTCATTGAGTGTTGGGAACCAACCTGGCCGCTCACACAGGCTGCCATTCACTGGGTTGATGCAGGTTTGAGCTTTCAGTCCGCTGGATGCTGGTTCAGCCAGGTAGCCACAGAACCCGGCGTCACTCGGCTCGCCGGGCAGCCACTGCAGGGTGGTGTTGGTAAAGGGTGACATGTCCTCCCAGCACCAGTACGACACGTTGATTTTCCTGAGCCCCACCCAGGGCGTCACTGTGGCTTTGTACTGCAAACACACAACAGTATGCCAAAGTGAAAACCAAGATTTTACACACTGTTCTCTTTTAAATGAAAGCTCTTCAACACGTCAGTGTGTGAGGTTTTCTTTTTTTAGATTTCAACCTCTTCTGATGATAAAAATGTTTAATTAGGTTGCATTTGGTCTTCTTAGCCCTTTAAAAAGGTCCTCAAAAAAGGTTGCAAACTGCAAGTCAAGTGCCAGTAGCTGAAGACTAATGTGTTAATGCCAAAAACAGCTTTTGATATCTATGTGTTTTTTTCAGAATCTCAACCTTGCCCTGGTTGTAAGCAACAAAAAAAGCAATATTTCTTCTGTACTGAGATAAATTCCTCTGGACTGACTGAGTGGCAATAAAAGCAGCTTTACTTCACTTGACTTGGGAGGCTCCGTTATCCATCCCATCTCTAATCAATGGCCATGCTGTTGCAGTAGTAGTAAACAACGAGAGCTCGATCTCTCACAGACGTGGGTCGAATTACTGTTCCATCGGGATTTAATTGCTTTTCTTAGATTGATTGATCCTGTCTGAAAATAGTTGGAACTGCTAAACAGCACCAACAGTATCAATATAACATGGCAGGAAGACTTGTGAAGCATGTTTCAGAGTGTCTGCGCCTGCACAGCATTTTATTGTTGAACTGGACAGTTTGAATACCAATGTTGTTCCAGAGAAGATCGATTTTATTTCTTCTCTACCTTTAAGCACAAACTGACCAACAGAAATGAATCCAGACCAACAAGGGAAATCTAAACAACTTCATTATTATGGCTGGAAAACACTCTCATTTGGATTCAAATGTTTTTTGTCTTTTTTAGCTTCAACATATGCCATGCGGTGGCTGCGGGGCACTTTGCAGGATCATAGGTGGCTTACATTTTGCATGGGTGGTTCAGTGAGGGATGGCAGTGTTTGTGCCTGCTGGGTGATCTACCAAAATATTAAAGCAGGACTACAGCTGTAGATGACACCATGTTTCATTTAAGTGCAGACCGGGTCGTTAGAGCTGCACTCTCCCAGTGCTTCTGACACATTCAGGATTATGTAATACTCTTGAGTGCACTCAAGGGTAGACACATACTGAAATACATAAATAGACGGATTTAGCTGTGATTAGGTCAATGATGCTCCCAAAACCATTTTTCCTCATCAGTTTGAAAAATTGAGACTTCTACAGTGTCTATTAATTCAGGAAATGTTACAGTATGAAATGTATTTCAGCTGAAGAAATGTTTCCGTTTGGAAGAGGCTTTTCTTCACATTAGGGCTGCATTAACAAATACTTTTATTATCATTTATTCAGCTGCCTATTCTATATATTAAGTCAATTGATAAATTATTAATTTAGTGCAAAAAATGTCAGAAGATCCAGAAAAAATGTCTATTATAGAACCCAGGGTGACGTTCAAATGTTATTTTGCCTGACAAGCAGTCTGAAAACCCCAAAATATTCAGTTTACAATGATTTCGAGAGTAAAGCAGATAATCTTCACATTAAAGAAGCTGGAACCACAGAATGATTAGTTTGTCGTGATCATTTCTGCTCTATAAAATAGATTAGTATTTCTGGGTAATCAGATTGAAATCTTCGGCTTAGGAAATGTAAAAAATGACATTAAACCTGAAAAACATGGTCCCTCTTGATGATGATCTATTTTTTCTGCCCATCCTCATAAAATGTATTAGTCCAACCATAATTGACTTCAAGCTTAATTTAGGCTTTTTCACTCAGTGCAGCTGAGTGGTTTTAATTTACATCTGACTCTTGAGCCAATACTCAGTTCATTGTACAGTGAATATATGTATATAAGCTTATACTGGATTTCTTGATCATCAACATTACAAGCAACCGAGAGTAAAAAAGAAAGAAAAAAAAGAGGGTAAGATCAAAGATTAAAAGGCAAAACATATATCTTCAAAGACAAATACATCCAGGACTTCTTCAGTAAATCAGCATGTATGCATCTATGCTGCTTCTCTCAGAGTCAGCATTTACTGTGTGTTATGCCAGCGCACACATTTGATGCAGAGATTAAAGCGAACACTGTAAATGTCCCCATCATTCACACATCTATCTGTAGATATGTGAGCTGCATCTGATGATATAAACAGCAGCCCGCGATGGTTAGTCGATTGCTGGGATAGATTTCTGCGTATTTGCTCTAATGGAGCAGGTAAGAGATGTCTAAGCTCTAAGGAAAGAATCTGTTAATGGAAGAGTTGTTTCACGCTCACTGGTCCAAAAATCACTGACAAAAAGAATCCAGGCAGAGTTGGCCTGCAGATTGAAAAAAAAAAAAAACATTTCAAAAGAGGGCAACTACAACAAAAGACATCCAAGTGCAAAAACTAAAAAGGTGTACAACAGTCTAGTTTTTGGTCATAAATCAGAGATTACATAATAAGGTTCCCTGGTGCATGTTTGTAGTCGTCTCTCTTGAATCAGTGTGTCAGTCTTGTTGGATTATTTTTGCATATGTACACATGAACCTCTGCTTCAACATGAAAATCTCATTCATCAAAGAAGAAGCTCTATGAACTGTTCAGTTATTCATTTAGATGCTATATACTTCTTCAGTCTTGATGCTGATGTGGGGTTCTTGCTGTTTTTATCCAATTTTATCTTAACCACTCTCTGAGCATCACAAGTGTTATCGATATCTTATCTGCTGTTGGTGTGACGACCCAATTTCCCCAAGTTTATACCCAGGACCGCCCCACCCTCCTCCTTCCCCTACTTACCACCACGCTCATAATCTGCAGCTCCTTCAGGACAAAGTCCACCTTCTTCTGGGTGGTCAGTGAGGCCAGGACGGCGTTGTGGCTCCTGCAGGCCAGCTTAGCGTTGTCATACGAGTCCTTTGCCGTGATGAACTTCAGGCAGGAGTTGCCCACCAGATGCCAACTTTCACCGCAAACGTTTTCTGGGATGGAGAGAACAAAGGAGGAGTTGGTGCTATAGACACTACGGGTCAGAAGGTTGATATAATGCAAGTTGGCAGCGTGTCAATGGGTTGAACTGGGATCCAACTTTTTTTTGATTATCTATACATCTATCAAATACTTTTTCATCACTAAAAGCAATGATTTCCAAACTTTTTGGCTTGTGACCCTTGAAAAACAGAGCAGTGTCTACTTGCCACGTCTCATAAGAGTTGTGATGAGTGAGCAGTTCAACCCTCAACACTCAATTTGAATAGATTTCAGAGGTCTGAAGAGGTAAAACCATCCAGTACTTCACAAAAAATTGGAGACAAATCTGAAAATATAATAATAGATCATTTCATGTAGCAGGGATGTTTTTTCTTCTCTCTTATCCTTTTAATCATTTTGTGACCCCTCAGATTTATTTTACAACCTCCTGGAGATATAGGAGCCACCTTTTTCTCTTGTTTTAAGAGAGAAAAGTGTTAAAAGGGTTTCTGGGGAGTTTTTTCCGTACCCGTATCAAGGATCTAAGGACAGACGGTTTTATAAAGACTGAAGCGAATTGTGATTTGTCATTTTGGGTTCCATAAATAACATTTGACTTGATATCTTATTAGACAACATGTATAAGAACAAGGCAATGCCTATCCGTATGCATTCATATTGAACCATATCATTATATCACTTATTTTATTAACTATTAAGGATGTCCCGGTCAGCTTTTTTCGATCCGATCGGAGTCATTTAATATTAAGTATTTGCCGATACTTGTATATTTTTTTGATAATACAGTGCGCAGGGCCCACTTCAAGTACATTAAAGTAATTTAAATCTATCCAATGTATATGCTTGACAATAACATATGCTATGAATTGCATCAAGAAAAAAATACCAGCATCAAAGCTGTCCCTTGATGTTTTTGATTGGTTTTTTTTCCACACAAAGTATAAAATAACAGACCTTCTATGTAATCTTTTTGGCCTGGTCACTGACTGATGGGAGTTTCTCTCTCCATTGTTTGGTGCTTTGGTGCAGCTGTTAACTGAGTTACCTGCATGAACTGTCTGTATTCTGCTGAGTGATTATTTTCGTCGTCTGTACATACGCGGCTTGAGTTAAATAATTACTCTTATTGGCTCTCTCACACACAGAGCTCAGAGAGGAGAGGCGGACAGAGAGAGTTGACAATGGTTGTGCGACAGGTGACATAAACAATGGATCGGATTGGGTCCTTAAAGCTCAATATATCTGATACCGATCGGTTAATCCCTGTTAACTCTCAGAAATTAGGTTTGTGTGTAAATTGTTCACGTAACTGAGAAGGAATGCATGAAAATAACGCCCAGGTTTAAAAATATAACCACAGTTACCTGGCAGTGAGATGCACTCCTGGTTGCGAGGTTCCCACTGACAGTTCTGGTCCACAGCGCAGCTCTTGCAGCTGGTTTTCTTGTTGCACACATATGAGGGGTTGTCCTTGGGGCAAACTTCATACTCCCCTATGGCCCCCTGGGGAAAATCAGAAAATAACAGGTGTCAACTCAACTCAATATACCATTTCATGCTGCATAAATGACACATATTAAATGTTTTTTGATTATGAGTTTAATGACGAGGATGCAGCTCTTTATAGATTCATGAAACTATCATTGAAACTGTGTTTGTGAAATTCCATTTTCTTACTGACAACGCAGCTATTTGAGTAGAATGCCAGGTTATCACAAGTATTAGATTACCAAATAATTGTAGTGAGACTGACTGACCCTTAGTAATCAAATATTTTAGACAAGTGCAGATAAGAATGCTGGAAATATGACGCATGCCCTGCCTCTGGGTGCCATATTGCATCTGAATAAGCAGTAATTTAATCACAGATAAATCAGATGTGTGTCGGAAACAACAACGTGCCTCATCAGTACTTTATCTAATCATTATTAAAATTTGTCCCAATTTATAAGTTGTAATAACTTCTGGAGGAAATGAAAGGAAGGCTCGTCAAAACAACATGTGTGCATCCTTATCCTTGTTATTGGAGCTGAATTGGCTACAGGAACCAAGTGTCCCAGCATTCATCATTATGTGCTTCAAAAGAGCCTATGATTGTTCGAATTTATAGGGAGACTGCTTATTCATGTATCAGAACGCGTCTTAAAATTACAGCTTGTATGGCAAGAAAAGGTTTCGTTACACGGCATCAGAACTACCAATTATGACAGTTTCCGATGTGCAAATGAGAATACAGCCAACTTAATGCCAGATTTGAAAGCACTGAAGCATGAAAAGCCACGGTCCTCCAACCAAAACATTACAATAGTTTTAATATTCAAAATAGCCAATCTACTCCATCAGCAGGCTTGGAGTTAGCAGGAGTAGCATCTTACCGTGGCAGAGGTGCAGTTGCTTCCCAGAGACACACACTGGCCTGTGCACCACTGGCAGCTGTTGGTGTTCGCAGTGCAACTGTAGCAGTCTGTATACTGGTCACACCTCTCGTTATCAGCATCTGCAACATTTGGAAGAACATGGTGGAAAAACAAAAAAAACAACACAATGTTTACTTTTATGACAATACAGACAGAAATGATAGTTTGAAGGGAAGGAAACGAATTTAACCCGACTGTGCAGGTTCCGGATGCCCTGTCTGGTGAGTAAATTGCTCACTTTTGGAGGGTGGCTGTTAAGAGGTAGTAATTTACCAAATGTTAGTGGTGGACAAATCTATATTCTTGTCAGTAGTCTTTGCTGTATTATCAGGAGAATGTGGCACCAACTTCACACTTTTCACAGTTTATGTTAATCTACCATTTCAACTATTGAAAATTCTTATTGAGAATTTGACCTTCAGGTATAAAATGAAAGCAGAAAAAAATCTATTTAGCTTTCTTACACAGCAGTTTAAGCAATTCTGATTCTGCCGTCTACCACAGATCAGTCAACACTTCCTGGACATGAGGTTTCTTCTGGGCAAACTGGGGCAGGGTGACTGCCAGACAGCAGCAGACCAGAAGGCCTCCCTGGTATTAAATGTGCCTGAAAGATATTCCGGGGTGCAGTTTCCATCTGCCGGCGCTTCTGTAGGAAGCGGCACCGGAAAATGAGACCGGCCGTGTTGGGGGAACTGAAGATTTTTTTTGTGACAAATGGCAAACAGCACACAGAAGAGAAATCTCAGCGGGAAGTGAGGAGACCTGGCTGAACTGTCCCCGATGATTACCTCTTTCTGTCCTCACAGACAGACAGACAGACAGACAGACAGACAGACAGACAGACAGACAGACAGACAGACAGACAGACAGACAGACAGACAGACAGACAGACAGACAGACAGCTGGGGCATTTTGAAGAAAAATTACTAACTTGTTAAATTAAGTGTTTAAGTGTTTATAGGACACATCAATACACATTCACGCTCCACAGACACTCAGGTAATCATAAAAGGCTGAGGCTAATAATTATCATCATTATGAATTTGTTTTAGGAAAAAATCAAATCTGAACACTTTCTGGATACTTCTGCAACAGTTTTCATTATTGATTGATTTGCGTTTTTTCCCTCAACTATTGATTGTTTAATAGTTTTGTTCATAAAATGTCTGAAAAGCAAATTCTCACATTGAGAATGCTTGGCATTTTGGCCTGACAAATGACTTAAATGATCATCAAAGTTCTTGTTTTCTGTTGATCAACTAATCAGCTGATCCTGTTTCAGCACCTAAAAACACATACAGAAATGACATCAACTGGACTGTATCTTAAAAAAAATAATTTAAAAAAAAAGGTGCACGAAGCCCAAGTTTCCTACACTTCAAAATCTTATACGTACAAAAAAAAAAAAACACCCCGTGTCATATTTTCTTTTGCATTTTCACTCTCTGATTTGGCAGTCCTTGACAAACAAGCTGTTTCTGGCAGAGTCTCTGCATGCCATCAGACATCCCTGTCGTGAATGCAGATGAGTTGTGCAGACACTCAAGAAAAGACAGGAATAAACTAAGATCCTACCAGATTAGTTTCACAGGACAGACAAGCTCTAATGCAGGATTTCAAAGCGATGTCACCTACATGATCGTGTGTTACAGGAGGCTGGTAGCTGCTGCTGTTCGGTTCCGACAGTGCTGCTCTCCCACGGCAGGCAGGTCCCCTGGGTGTTGTTCCAGACGCACTGGATCCCCGGCCAGGCCTGGTTGCAGGACGCTGAGCTGGAGAAGGCCGAGCAGTTGGGCGAGGTGTACATGAGGACGTCACTGAGCAGCAGGCTGTTGAAGCCGCCAAACACGTACATAACACTGTAAGACAAAGAGGAAAAGAAGACGTTAGAGGGCTAGAGGGGAAGGATTCAGGGAGTAAAACAGACAATTTCTGCCCCACAATTCTCCCCGGTTTCGACCTTTCTTGCACACTGAAAGCCAGAGAAGCTTAGTCCGAGTGCTCTCCCTCTTCTCTGGGGCTTCAACCCGCCTCACAAGTCTGCTAAATCCCCAACAAGCACTCTCTTCCTGTGCGGACGGACCTGACAGACCCCCCTGCTGTGTGTGTGTGTTTGGATGCCGGGTCTAGGGCATTTCTGAACATCTTTCTCTACTGGCCTCTGCTCAGCTGCTGGGATTAGTGTGTGTGTGTGTGTGTGTGTGTGTGTGTGTGTGTGTGTGTGTGTGTGTGTGTGTGTGTGTGTGTGTGTGTGTGTGTGTGTGTGTGTGTGTGTGTGCGTGCGTCTGCACAGGGTGGGTAATTTGCACCAATCTGATCATAATTCCCCTCAGATCATAGAGGGCACACTTGGCTCTGGACGTCCTGCTGAGTGCAAGGATCAGGAGGAGGAGAACGTTGGACCACATGTGAGATGTGAGTCATTGTAGAAAAACTAAGGATGACCGAGACAGTAAAAGGATGTATTGAAAAGGGTCACTTCTCCAAAATTACAGAAAAAAAAAAACATTTCTCACTTTCTTTTAACAGTCCAGATATCTGTCTCTGAGATTTCTGTCTACATCTGAATACAACAGAGGTGAATTTAATTTGTGGAGCTTGGTGCATGAAAGAAATTATTTTATTTCTTCCCAGAGGTAACCTTGGAGAAAATATTGTATCAACTGTTTCCATAGAGACAATTTCTTTAGTAGGAAGTAGTTCAAATGAAAACTGTTGACAGAGAGGTCTGAACTGATGCTTTAAGATATGCAAAGGGCTTCACATGAGCATATATATGATGAACTGATGAGTAAATGGTCAAATAAATGGTTAACTGGATGTACTGTTGCTCATTAAAAAGGTATTCTGCCTACTTTATGATGCGTTTTGAAAGGGGACAAAAATAATTATAACAATAACCTTAAAAAAACAACAAAAAAAACGGACAAAACAATACAATAAGTCAGAAGTGGCACAGAAAGACCAGCTAATTCAGAAAGGCAGGTTTATAAAAAAGGAATTTTAGTTGAGTTGTATGGTAAGTCACCGAGGAGGAAAGACAAATTTAAAGAGGAAGACTGTTGCACAGTTTGGGGGGCCCAGACAGCAAAAGCACTCCTCTCTTTCCTTAAGTTTCAAGTCTAGACCGGGGGAGTACTAGCAGAGTTTTGTAGCAAGATCTCAGGGTGAGTGTAGGCACGTAGATGGAGAAAATAAAATCTACGTTGCAGTCAAACTGCAGAGTGCTTTAAAAGTAGAGCGAACCGTAAATATCGATTCGAAAATCAACTGGAGGTAAATGCAGAAAAGCTAAAATAGGGGTTACGTAGGGTGAGATTTCTCCTTATTTCATTTTTTTTGACTTGAATCATAAATGAAGGTGTCCTCCATATTTATATAATACATATAACATCAGTATTCTCCCATCAGCATTCAAACTAAAACTTCCTTAAGGCTCAACCTTCCTCACATCACTGCCTTTACCTTTTGTAGAACTTCTCAGTGCATTTTGCAGTTCTCTGAATTGTGACCAATTTCCTCTGGACTACATTTTCCATTTGTTTTTCCTATTATGAATTTCATCAATTAGTTTTTTAAGACCTACTGTAAAATGTAAAAAAAAGAAAAATGTTAAAAGCTGAATATTGGTGCTGTCTTGAACTCGTTGATTGTGTTGAATCTGAATTGGATCGATGAATGAACGCATGAATAAACTTTTAATTGCTCCTGAGGAACAGGAGTCATCAGTGAGGATTGACTTGAACAGGGCTGGTGATTCATGTTAATATTTGATGCGTTCTCTACAACAGGATGTATAATTTAATATGGATTGCTGTGTCTTGCTCTGCTGGCGGTGCAGATAATACTTACAGATGAGTCATCCCTTCTGGTCGCAGCACCATCTCCATAACAATCTATTTGTATCACAGACTAATAATGAAATGTCATGTATGAACGCACAAAGGATTATACTCCAAGGTAACAAGGTTTAGGGTTTAAGTCAGTTATCCTTAGTTCTTAGTGTTTCCCCATGCTGTATGTTGGGGGCTGAGCTAAGCTTGTTTTTCTTTGTCAACTCAGCATGTTGACATTTCTCTCAGTATATAGTAATCAATAATTAGAAATGTTCTGCAAGCACATCCAGTTTCAGAAAATGATTTATGTAATATTAGAGATGATTTGCACACTGGAAATTCTAAAATATTTTCATTTACAAGGTCCAGCATGAGTGAAGCAATCAAGAGTTAAATACTAAATGATCGAGCGTATAAAGGAAGTTAGTAAATCATCCAAACTGATGATCAAGATTACAATATGGCTGCCTTCAGACTGCAGGCACAAATGGTCCAAATCTGATTTATTTTTTACTTATAGATACTTTGAAGAGCACAACTCTGACGATGAAATCATGATATTTTCAGTTCTGGTTTGGGCCACTTTCATATGTGGTCCAAATCACATTTACCACATTTAAGTACAGTTTGGAGTCACATTTTCAGGTATCGCAAAGGGACATTTAAGTGGGTTTGCCTCTCAACAAACAAGTGAAGTAGATTTGAAAGTTTTGAAGAAACATGTCGATTTTAAGATCTTTGAGCTTCTTTCTATATGAAATTCTTCAGTCAATACTTGGAAAAACACAGTTCTGTTCTCAACATTGTGGTTCCTTTGTCTGAAGTTATGAACTGAAACCTTTGCTGGCACTGATAATGAGGAGCTCAGGAGCAATTTTTTTGTTTTACCATCAAACAGTGGATCTCTCAGTTTATTTTCCTATATTTCCCCCTTTGTCCCCCTCTAATAGCCTCTGCTTTCAGACTCATGTTTTAAGTGCACAGAGATGTGATCATGAATAAAATAACCAGGAGGAAGAAAACTTTAAATTTCCCACTAGAAAAGCTGAAAAGTCCCATACTGTCAAACTTGTGTATTTACATTAGATGCAGAAACGTACTGAACATGGTTGTTTGTATAACGTATTCCATTTCAACGTGTCTTTAAATACCATGAGTGCATAATTAAACATGTGTGGGCCCCGGTGGAACTAAAACCTGTCACTCTGGTTTACATGCGCTGAAGAAACAAGGTTACCGAGAGAAATTGGGTTAAGACAGGAAAGCTGAACGTGTTTCTGTGCAGATTTCTACCCCACCTACTCCCTACACAAGAGTGGTATATTTTCAGTGATCTACGCATTTTGACATATCTCCCTTTGTGTTCAGATTGGTTCAGATTAGGTGGCCGTGAAAGACACAGCATGATTCACATAATCTTCAACCTCATCACACTATTCATGCATTTGTTATGTCTCCTCATTTATTCAGGTCTGCCCTTTAATTAGTCACCCATCTTTATGTAAGCAGAAAGCTTTCTTTCTTCCTTTATTGGGCCAAGATGGATTGCATGTACATATGTCTAAATTCTAAGAATGGCATACTGCTCAGCTGTGTGAGTCAACTTATTTGGATTTATCTGTACCAGTTTTTGGCAAATTGGTATTTAATTATTTGGAGTTTAAGGATGCACAGCTAAAAAAAAAAAAAGTTAGATTAATACATGTCTAGTTTTAGTATGTACAGTCTATATGAATACCCTGACAGAATTTGCAAGCAGGACAAATGAGATGGTGATGAACTTCTGGAGCCAAAAAACCTCAGACTATACTGGTGAGCATCCAGGGATTGGATATTGAGATGGTACCTGGGTGTTCACCTCAACAATAAAATGGTGGTCAAACACAGATGTCCTGTACAAAAAGGCCAAAGTCGTCTGAGGAGACTGAGGTCCTTTGGAGTGTGACACTGTCATTTTCTGACACTGTGGTGGCATCTGCAGTCTTCTACACTGTCATCTGCTGGGGAGGTGGAAGCACGGAGAGGGACAGAAAAAGCTCCGTCCTGGATTGCTCCCTGGATGCCATGGGGAGGTGGCTGAGAGGAGGATGTTTGCCAAGCTGACGTCAATCATGAACAACACCTCTCACCGCCTGCATAAGACTGTGGGGGCCCTGAGCAGCTCCTTCATGAACAGACTGCTACACCCACAGTGCAAGAAGGAGCGCTACCGGAGGTCCTTCGTTCCGACGGCAGGCAGACTCTTAAGCACAAGCATGACACAATGTAGCACTGTTTGTTGCCTCTTCCACATCACAGCTACTTTTTTAATTTATTTCAAGTTATACACCCTAATTATTCATATTTATTAATATTATATACGCACATTTTAAACACACACACACACACACACACACAATATAAATATCTTATTTTATCGTATAATACACATTAAGATTATTAGATCTTCTATTTTTTATTATTTAGTATTTACTATGGTAGTAGTATTAGTATTAGTATTAGTATTAGTAGTAGCAGTAGTAGTAGTAGTTTTATTATTAGTTTTTTTTGTGTATTTTCTTATCTCTCACTCTATTGTGTGGTTTTGTTGTATCTGGAGCTGCTGTAACAAGCGAATTTCCCTGATGTGGGATCAATAAAGTCTATCTTATCTTATTTAAAGTAAGTGACAAAAGTAGGCCCCAGCAGGTTTAGTCAGAGTCTCATTGCCATTATTTAATGGAATGATTGTGTCCAAATTAATGTTTGTGTTTATGTTCAAATTGTTATCTTTATGTTGTTCTTATCTTATTATCTGAACCAATAATATCGAGAGAGGCCTTTGTGTAAAGCACTCTGCAAACTGCTTTTAGTTCAGTGCTGCATAAATCATTACCTGTCACTGAAGACCGCAGAGTGTCCGAAGCGATTGACGTCGTGGTAGAGGTCCGGTCGAGGCAGCACTGTCCACTCATCACATGCTGCAATGAAAAGAAGACACAGAGAGGTCAAACTGTTGACCTGCTCCCACATATTAAATCATACATGTCTTCAGCAGTTGGAAATTCAGCTGACATGCCATGGGTGGTTAGCGAGACCTTTAACAGCTCATATCCTTGTGTCAATCAAAGAGTCACTTGTCAAAGCGTCCTTGACCGTGAAACTGAGGGCCTGACAGCTACAGGGGCAACAATCACGCCAGGAAGATGCAGCTAGTCGTGTGTGTCGCAGGTGTGTGAAGAGATAAAATATGGTTTCATAAATGGCCTCCAGTATTTAGAGCAAGTAGCGTGTGAGAAATGAGGCTATTCTCCTCTACTGATCTCATTTTCAGGTTGTAGCTATAAAAGGTTCTGAACATGACTTGGGCTGCCATTAAAATCTGCCATGTTTGTGGCCTCTCAATATTCAAAGTTCAGATGTGAAGCTTTGAGTCGTCACACCTTTGGTTACCTGCAAATGTGAGAGACCAAACGTTATGAGATTCAATAAGGAACTTGAAAGGATAAAGATTCAATAAGTAGATTCAGTATTGGATATAGATGATAAAAAGCTTCTGATCTGACCTCCCTCCCAATGCTGATGGGCCTAACAGGTTGATATGATTTCAAAGATAAGTTGCTTAGACCTGCGGTTGCCAACCCTAAAATTAAGCGAGGTCTACCTGTGATCCTCTATCAAAGTGTATGGCCGCAAGGTAGATATACATTACAGGCATTTAAACCATTTTCTTCAGATAGTTTAATCATCAAGTATTTTTTCAAATGCAGCCCAAAATTATCCAGTATTTCATCATGGTTGGACCCATTTGGGGTCCGGACCCTCGTGTTGGGAACTACTGGAACTTAAATGTCTAGGTAAGGTATAACCACTATTTTAACATTATTTCAATGACTATACTTAAGTTCTGAAATCCTGGTAAACAACAGTGATATAAAACGTAAACATCAGAAAACTTTAATAACATATAACCCAGTTTTAACCCAGACCTCAAAATCATCAAGTCACTGCTTACTGGGTAAAGAAATGAATGCATATGGTGATGGATTCCTTCAGGGTTGTTTTTAAATGGAAGCACCTATCATGAGTCTGTACAAACAACCAAAACAAACAACAACAAAAACCGGTGGCCGATGTGAGCCGGAAAGCTTGTGGAAGACTGCAGTATCATCACCTTCAGTCAGTACAATGCAGTGCAAGTCATCATGGTCTCCCAGAGGAGAGCGGCATCTGTGCGAGCTCTACATTCACAGGCAGACACTGCCCTCTGGTGTCACACAGCGGTACTGCAGGCGGTGTGGTGCATTGTCCCTCACAGTGGGGATTTATTATGACACCATCTTCCAATGTCAGGACAGCGGACGGCCCTTAAATTCTACGCTCTAATTGAGTTCAGCTTGTTAAGGAGGGGCGATTAGTCCTCGACGCGCAGCCCATCTCGACTGTAATTACCAGACAATTACAGAGCTGCCGCTGCTGACACCGACCCTGCAGCTGGCTGGTGGTGGGGGAAGGTGGGGGTTGAGGAAAATAGTCTACTAGTCTTTTCTGTCCAATTACAAAATCATACAGAGGATGAGGAGTGGCAGGGAGGAGAGAAAGGTCAGAGCTTAGGGAGGCGAAAAACAACAATACTTGAAGTTTTTAATTTCAAAAGTTCGACTCAAATGCAAACTCTCGAGGGAAATCATGAAAACAATTTGTTTCCCGCAGTGACTAGAGTGAGATGACTCAGTCTCATTATGCCAATCAAGCGAAGACATGTGGTAACATAAATGTCTAAATGGGACACTATGCTGAGAATTCAATTGACCTCTATATGTGCTGCTGCAGCCTTCATCGTCTGTTCTTCACACCACTCCAGTGAGCTGAAAAGGGAACGTTTGTTGGGGATGTTTCAGTCCTAACATGCAATTCTCATGAACAAAAGCTGGTTGCACAGGGAGGGGGAAGGGGCTGCTCGTGCCCCTGAGATTGTAATTTTGCCGCCTGTCAATCATCTTCATAATGACACAGAAAAACAGAATGTCCTGGGGCCGTTGGGCGGCCTGTAGGGAATTCTCCCTCCCATCCAGACAGGCTGAAGCCCTCCCATTAATGAGCAGCTTATGACAGCACTGCGGAAAGAGGCCGACTCAATTTACAACGATGTTTGCAGGCAGTTAACAAAATGAGGATGCCGGTATGGCTTCTGACAAAGCTGTGCTAACTTCCATTAGGACATAGCACAGAAGTTTAAATGGGATTATAATTAGAACACAAAAACATACTTACATACTACAAATGACAACAATGCACTTATAATTGTCTATAATTGTATTTAACTAATAAACAGGGACAGAAAACATATTTTCCAATCCACACTCTTCAAACAGATACACATGGGGGAGTTGTTTTGTACCACTCTCCCTCTACTGTTGAGCAGCTGTATTACACAAACTGAGGGGTTAAGTATCTTGATTAAGGGCACCTTAGCAGTAAAACGAGGAGAGCACAGGTATAAACATTAGAGGCTTGAGAACAAAACAAAGCCAGCAGGTGAACCGCACACACAGACTAGTTTAGTGATTACATTACTCAGCTTTGATCACATTGCATTTACAGTCACCTCGAAATCCTCAAGGAGTCGAGAGTGAACTGCAGCTCAAGGGGATGTTCTACAAAGTCTGACTGGCTCACAGCAGCTCTGAACACCTGAACACCTCAGTCCGAACCCATGGCCATTAAACCTGCTGCTTCCTCTTCTGTTTTTAAGGCTTTCCACCACATTTTGAAACCTGGCTGCAGATATTTGTTCCGATTGAGGCACAACCGCATCAGTCTTTGCGGCTAATGTTTTTTAATAAGATCTGGCGCGCAGGTCAGGGCTCTGGGCAGACCGGTCAAGCTCTCCAAAACCAAAACTGAGAAAACCATTTCATTATGGAGCTGGCTTTGTGCATGTGGGCATTGTCATGTTGAAACACGAACTGTTGCCACAAAGTTGGAAACACACTACAGTCTAAAATAGCATGGTGTGCTGCAAAATTTAAGAGGTCATATTATGCTCATTTTCAGGTTCATACTTGTATTTGAAGGGTCTATTATAATAGAATGACATGCTTTAATGTGTGGTGTAATACTGTAATGAAAGAAAAGGCTGAATACAAAGGGAGCTATATCAGGCAGTGCAGGAGCAGTGTTTTCTGTGGGAGACAGTAACTTTCTTTGCCGTGGACTTAAATGCCCAAAATAAATCTATATAACACACACGAAAGCACAAAATGTCCTCTTTAAGGTTTCCTTTAATTGGATCTAAGGGAGTTAACCCAGACAAGATAAGGTTGTCCACATACTTTTGATCATGTTGTGTGTCTGAAAGTAGGTATGATGCTGAGTTTTGATTGAAGACAAACTTCAGTACTAAACCAGAACAGAATAACTCTTAACAGCAAAAAGCCTTCATTCAAAACTCCAGTCCAGTGATTTGAATTCAACTCTCTCCAGACAACAAGGGCCAGCCATTGCAACTGAGAACAAGATTAATTTGCACATAAATAAGCCCTGAAAAACAAAAAACACGTAGCTTCCAACAGGCACTTTAAAGCCAGCACTCAGCTTCACTTCCTCGGTCCAAGAAAATCATGCAAAACCACTAGACTGCTGGAAAATGTAAGAATACATTATTCAGAATATTATGTATGAAAAGGGGCTGTGGTTTACCGCTCGTGTACATTGAGTTGCGACATTTGACCTTCTCGTGCTCCAGTGGAGCTGCTCAGTGTCCAACAACAAAACACTGCAGTTGTACTGAGCAGCTCCCAGGTGTGAGTCTGTGCGACTGTATGAATGCAAAGCAGCTCAGTGCAGGGAAAAAAAGAAAAGAAAAAAAAGATGATGCATGCTTAGCAGAAAAACCCAGAGTGAGGCTGAGAAAGCAGAACGCAGGAGCTGCTGCACACAGTCTGTGTGTTTGTGTGTGTGTGTGTTACTGACCCAGACTGTAGGCCAGGAAGTCAGAGGAGAAGCACTTGGCACCGTGGCTCATGGATGTGTCGTTGTGCGTGTTTCCTCCAAACACCAGCATCGTCCCACTCACAATCACTGCTGTGTGGAGGTAACGGAAGAAGCCGCTGTCTCTCAGAATGGTCCTGCACGAATACACAGTGAGGGTTGTCATTCAGGTAGATGTTATACAGCTGGTATACAACAGTGTGGCAGCATGGGCGGGCTGTCTGTTGTCACAGTCCCCACATGCTGCTGTTGCAACTGCTTTTTTGACTAACGAGTCGGTAACATTACTTTTTGTTTACAGTTGGTTTTATTTACAGTAACACAATCCAATGAATACAAGTTTTTTACTTTCAGCAAATTACCAATGCATATGTCTGTTTTGATAGCACTGTCAATACAAATCTCACCATTTCCTCTTGTCCACATCAAACTTGTACAGGTCTCCAGCCAGGCCGTACTTGTTAGCACTGAAGGCCTTGTAGCCTCCGTGGATGTAGATGGCTCTGGTGCCGGGGTCAAAGACACTGCTGTGGCCGTAGCCACCCTGGACCAGCGCACCGACTGTGGACACCATGCTCCATGTGTTCTTGCCTGGGGGGGAAATCACACAAGCATCTGTTACTGAGCAACAGAAAACTAGCTTGGTTATCATAATATAATGAAATTGGGAATCTACAGTTAAAAAGGTCTCAGGGTGCTTTTGTAGAGGATTTAGTTTTTGGTCCCAGCACAGATGCAGTGGAGGTAATTAGGGCTTAACTCAGCTTACACAGTGTTTATTAGTGTAAGAGAGTTAAGGCAATATAAATCTTTGTATTACTGTTTCTAAAATGCATTACAAGTGCAAAAGTAGCATCAGACCGCCCTCAGATTTGATTGTTGATCATTCAGGAAACAATAATGCGCAAATCACTTTCATTTGTGGGCAAATAGGGGATGCACTCTTGTCCATCAGCCACAGCGGCAGGTTAATTCATCCCATTTTCTCAGACTGATTGGCTTTTAGAAGACAATGAGACCTCCAAATTAAGTTTGGCTGCCTGCCAACGAGGGTGGTGGATTAGATGAACACGCCACCTGAGTCTGAAAGTCGTTAGCTTCATCTTGATGGCCAGTGTTAATTTCCTGTTGTTGTAAACAGATATAATTAGGCACTAACACCCAGGTCAAGTTATTAGTTAAGAAGGGGACGGCTAAAGGTTGGGTGCACTGCTCTAAGGGTGCAAAGACTAAACTTGGGAGTTTTTGTTTTTGGGACAGTCTCTCTAGAAAACTACACAGACCTACAGCCTTCTGCTCAGCCCCGACAGCGCCTACAGCTTACCGATGTCATACTCCTGCACTTGGCTGATGTAACCATACAGAGGGCAGTGTCCAAACAGAACCAGCATGATGGGACTGGCCCCCTCCTGGATGGGAGGCACAATGTGGGCCGAATGTCCCACAACGGCATACTGCTCCTTGGCCCGGGGGCTTAGTAGGACCCAGGTCTGGTTCTGGATGTGGAAAACCCACAGCTGGCTGGACACGTTTCCTGTGGAGTCAATCTTCCCTCCGTACATGTAGATCTTCCCCTGGAAGAAACAAACAGTGCAGCAGAATTAGGATATATATAAGAGAGCTCTTCCAAAACTAAATCAACATGAGAAAAAATAAAAATATCCAGTGATATTTATTAGCCTTTTACACTTTCCAACATCTATATGTAAAAGAAATAACTACCACGCTTTAGTTTGAAAACTTTTCTCAGGCAAAGCTGGAATAAAATAGATGTCTATTATAAATAGCAATCTATCAGTTTAAGGAACTTATGGGGTATATTGTTTTTATATATATATATGCTGGTCTAACCATCAGTACACAGGATGCTAGTCCGGAACTGTGATTCACTTTGTACGTGATTATGATTAAACCAAAGCCCGCCACAGTTACCCTATGATGATTATGAACCATCAGCAAAATAAAATCTAATAACGAAACTTGAACGAAGCAAAAAAAAAAAAAAAAAAACACACACACACACACAAAAAAAGCACCAATAACCTTCTGTCTATCCTTGAGTTTTGAATAATAACACCAGTGTATTATTATTCCCTGGACCTCTGAAAGTCCTGAACACAGCCTGGTGGTCTGACATTATAATGCTTCTCGATTTTTTCATTTTTTTTGCATCATTTCACTTCCTTGATTTGATACTAAAGTAAACATTTCCTCATTTCCTCCTGCTCTTGATAATGTGCGAGTATGAAACTTTACTTCCATAACCCCGGTTCTCTGAGGAACATGAACGCTATGAAAGAGAACAGAGGACTTCTCGTTATTACAAGCAGTAGTGTGTGAGCTTCACAATAGACCCTTTTCATTGCAGCCATTCTGACAGGGCATTGTAGATTTAACACACGTGTTACCAATGATACTAATTAAGGTTCTGTTCCATTCAGGTCAAACGCCAGGCAGGGGGCTGCTATTGTGCATGTTCTGATACACTGCATGGAGCGAACCTTCATTAGAATCCTCCTTAACACCTCTATTTACCCTACTATTTTATGTAAAAAATGCTGCTGTAAAAAAGGTCTATTGATTTGTTTGGTTCTTTTTTTATTTCTTAACTTATTTTATGTTATTAGGTGAAAAATAACACCAGTAGATAAAACTGTAAACTTCGGCAACATACTATATTTGTACTCACAACTCTCATATATGTCATCTTAGTGAAAATGGCATTTTCTGAATGCATGAAAGTCACAGAAAGTAGCCTGATTCTGCATTTTCAGAATAGACAGAGGTGTTGTGGTATCTTAAGCTTTTTATAAACCAGTGAGTGCATGTGTTCTTAAGAGCCTGAACCGGTGCATTATCTGTTTTGCGAGACTTTTTCTATCTGTTACGTATCAACACTGATTTGGTTTCAGATTTGTCTTGCAAGCCCACATTGACTTACAAGACACATTCATACGCCGTGATGCAATTTGAGCTGAGGAGTGTTTGTAATGCACAAACTCAGTTCTCTCAAACCACAGAGCAAACAGACTGCGTCTTCCTCTGAATCCTCCACACTCTAATTTATTATTCCATCAGCGGCTCCTAACAGTCTTTCTGGCTGAGAAGAAACTGCTTCACTGCAGCATATCAAAACCCAGAGATTTATGTATTAGTTCCAGACAACAAACAGACACCAGTGAAAGCATAAATAAAGTTTACTATATTTCTGCTAAAGCATCCATTTAATTTAGTTGTCATCGGTTCTTTTCTCATCCTCTTTTAAAGCCCTGTTCATATCATACTGACCTGGCAGAAACTACAGATACATGTAAAAAGCACTATAATAATAGTGAAATGTACATTATAGAGTTACATTGTGTGGTCTTAATGTACATCCTGGTTCATAGTAGATATGTATTTCTCCTTCCCTCCACATACCTCATGCAGAGCCAGTGAGTGGCCATATCGTGGTGTGACAGTGTTGACGGAGGGGTCGAGGGTCTGCCATCTCTTTCTACTAAGGTTATACCTACAGAAAGAGAACAGAAAGGTGCGATGACCACAACAGAAAAGATTGAACAAACGTGTAGGAGTATGTCCTAGTCTCTTCTGCTCAATCATTTTTACATACATTTTGAAAAACTGTTCAGTCAAGATTTCCATGATCACTTCAGTGTGACGAGACAAAGTAACCCCAGTTCAACCAGACAAAGACAGAGCCTGTGGGAACACTGTGAGAAATGGAAACATTGCCTCATAAACTCAAAGCTTCCTCTTCTTTCTCCCTTTTAAAGTCAGAAAGATGTAGGGGAACAATTATTTAATGTTCGGTAGTTCCTATCTGTGTATGTGCTGCGCTGTCTCTCATGTGCTTGTCCACATCTCCATGGCTGAGAGGAGCTTCTGCGGCTCAGGTTCAGCCTATTTGGCGACACCTGAAGGTGCAGTAGAAAACATCACACTGCATAAGAATTAAGGGCACATGAGTGTGGTTTGTTGATCTGATTGACATCATGCCACATGACTGAACTTCTAAAGGAATTGCAGAGAGTTTTGTGAGACAAGCGACACCACTCTCATCACCACCCAGCTAGCTCACTCTTAATACTACAATCTATTTCTTCTGTTTTCACCATTTGGAGCTGCACATGGACTTTGGCTGAGGCTGATTTTTTAAGAGCTAGGCTTATCTTCTTCAAGCTGCTAACTATCTCCAACTTAAACCAAAGTGCAATACAACAAAGACTGTAAAAACAAAATAAAATAAAAAAACAGTGGCGTCAGTATTCAACATGTTCCTCAACTAAAGTTCCAAAGTCTAATGACCTCAAGCATCTTAACCCTAAACCTACCAACTACCTATCAAAATGAAAAGGGAAATGCTACTCATGTGCTTTCATTGTATTCAACTTTAAGTTAGATGTATGGTTTAGTTTCATAAACTGTAGGAAAGCATTGTTCTTTAAGTATCTGAACCACTGCAACTGCATCAAGAACTAGCTAAACACTTAAATTGAGAAGGATGATGACGCTATTGTCAAATCCAACTATGTCAAGGTGATAAACACAAAGAAGTTGTGTACAGTTAACAGAATGCTCTTATAAGATACCCTGAGCAGAAATAAAAAGGGCCTTGTCCTGACTGAAACCCATAAAGTCAAAATATGAGCCAAGGGAATAAGTGTAACCTTCCTGGGTGGAGTTCAGGGTGAGGAACATCAGCATATCCTATAATTGTATGGTTTTAATTACATCCTTCAGTCTGTGCCCGACACAGAGCTGTCTGTGCAGAGCTGTGTTCTTTTCTTGCTGATTTTCAACAGACAGGAAGTCTTGTGGCTTCTTCCTATCAGCACTGACAGCCAAGTATTACTTTAGCACTCGGTATAACAGGCATGTAAGTTAAAAATATTTAAATTTTTGCAACAGAGACACTGTGTTTCAAAAGCACATTCCCTACAGTCGCATAGCAACAGCAGGACTCCTGTCTCGCAGCTCTCTTGGATGAGAGCAGCAGCCAAAAGCCTGAAATCCGAGTTCACAGGGGAGAGTACTTACGCTTTGACCATGTGATAGTCGGAGGCGTTGAAGACATAGCCTCCGATGATCCACATGATGCCCTGGTCCACCGTGGCCTTGTGGGAAGCCCTGGCCAGCCCGGCCTCGGTGTACTCCTCCCGGCTCCAGAAGGAGGAGTTGGCAGGCACGGATATGGCGCAGTCTGGACCTGAGGAGGGAAGGAAACCACAGAGTCAGGGCTCCACAGGAGGCTAGATGATGCAGGAAGCTCAGTTAATTCTGCGTATCATAAACACAGAAAACAAACCACAGTCTTTTAGGGGAACATAAAACCAGACCGCCTTAAGAGAGCCAAAAAATACCAACAAAATGAATCAGCATAACAACAAGAAATAAACTTTCTAGCTCGTTAGAAAGTTGCTGCTTTAGCTTTAGTGGATTAAACGCTCACAGGTTTCATTAGTTCACTTTAATGTCCTGCAGTTAAGCAGAGTGTACATGAGAGGGGCCATCTGCTTTCCATGAATTGACTGTAGGTGAAAAAAAAAGAACCATTATTGATTTTATCTCTTGAATTATGAATGCAAGAGTTGAAAGAAAGGGTAGAGAGGTTAAAGAAGCATTTAAAGCCGTTAGATAAGTGAGACTGATTATGCAGATGTGGAGTAATTTAGCATTAGGAAGTATGCAAGGCAAGGGTGTCAGTTATGTTGATATGTAAAATGATGCATTACAGAAGTTGATGTCCGGAGAGATTAAACTTTTTGAACATTCAAGCATGAACCAATAACTAATGTTTTTACGGATATGACTGGAATGGTGCTTTCAAATACAGATGGCCCGGGCCAGAGCTGCCTTCCCCTGTTACTGGACAAGAACAATAACGACAGTATAAACCGGAATCACTTCAGATTGAGGGGAAAAGATTTTTTTGGTAAACGGCAGCCAAGTCAGAAATAGAAAGATTGGCCTTGTCCTGTCGATCTTTGGAATCAGGTTGTGGTGGGGTTTGGGGGCAGTTTGTTGATCTTGTTCATCTACAGTCTGTCCATCCTACCTGATGAAGGACGCAGATAAAAACCTGACTGGAATACAACATTTAAACAACCGATTAGTGCTATCACTCCATCTTACAGCAGAAACAGGATATTAATCACTGGGGGAGTTCCTTATTGATTGTTATCCAAACAATGCAGAGGCAACCATGTGACAGGAAAGGAAGTGTGATTGCAAACAATCGAGGTCACTTTACATTCTCCTTTTTGTTTTGTTCAGTGGCAAAAAAAAAAAAAATATCCCTGGTGGCTAATATTCCTCAACCCAACTCCAGTATCGCTAAGCAAACAAAATTACCTCTGCACCTTAGTGGCATTTCCATAAATAACACAAATGCGGCCTTAGCCTCCCTTAAAACACGCAATTTGTTGAAGGCTATGCATCTGTGAAAGAGAGATTAAATGCAAGGCTGGCTTGACTAAACAGGCATCTGTCTCTTCTTTTTCACTGGTTGGTGTTGAAAATGAGTTCATTTGGAAGCTGGCAGCACAGAGTACACTAAGTGTGCTATTCCTCGGCTAACACACCATGACAGGGTAATAAAGGCTAAAGAAAATGCCAGTCTGTTTCTCAACTCCCTCAGCTTTGGTAATTAGATTGTGAGCACACTGAGCTGCTGATATAACTGCAGTTAAATTAAGCCGTTGTCTCTGCTTGTGCACACTGGCGCAGTGGAGCCGTTTAAGAACTAATAGAGCGGTTAAAACGCCCATATGGTTGGATTCAAAAAGGATACAGTGGTGTCAGGTCATCACCAAATAAAAGGAGACGAATATTCATGACTCAACCAAAAATATGTGGAAGCTGATCCTGCAAAGAGTTCATTTGAAGTCCATCGGGTTACAGCAGATGGATGTTGTGGGGGCAGCGGGAGCCTCAATAGTAGTGGTGGAGGCTTAAAGCTGAAGAGGCACTGGGTTGAATCACCAGATAAACAGGCAAAATCTGGACGGATAAAGTCAGCAGCGCTCTTTACTAAACCTCCAACTGCTTCTTTGGAGCTGCTTAGTGCTCAGCTGCACTGGGTGTTTACTGGGAAGGTTGGTTTTTACTCCTGGGTGTGCTTTCAAAGAAAATAGCTGCAAAGCTCTGATAACTCCATATTGTTAAAATAAAACTAAACAATTGGGTCAGAGTATGGTATCCATGATGGAAAAGGTGAGATAAAATTAGTGTTTTTTATTCCATAAAAATGTAGAGTTGGGAAAACAACACAGTACACTGAGCTCAACTTACACGTTTTATAGAGTCGGCAGGTTTTCTTTGTGGCTTGTACACTGAGGGATGGTTTCACATAGAAGCATTAACCCTAGTCAATAGATACCTCTATAAAATACTGAATTCTTAGCCTGGGATTAGCCTTAACCCCTGTATGGAAACCATCCCTCACTACTGAATGGTGGGATTGAGTCATCAGGCAGCGGGAGGCCAAGTCATATAATCCTCACTCCTATTAAAACCTAAAACCTTTTTCTGTCTTTCAATTATATGTTTTATACCTAATCATATGAACACAGTTCAGACAGTCTAAGCAGGTGGTACATTGGGCACTTAATCAGATTAAATGACTACCTCAGTTATACATTAGCCCGATAAGCACACTGAATTTACATTTCATTCTTTCTACATGAATCACTGAACAAGTGGCAAATGTGGGCAGCGATGCAGAGGTCTGGAACCAGGCTAGTTATATACGGTGTGTACTCTTTTACTGAAAGTAGGAAGAAGGCACACTGTATTTACATGACTGTCCTGTATTAATAATTGTGGCTGTTAAAGGTGGTTGTTGGCAACTAGATTTGGGATTTACCCACCCCTGGGACCAGAGCCACTGTTCATACTGTACTGAGAATGTAGACCAAGTGAGAAGCTTATTCAAGTGGCTGAGGAGTGTTTGGCATGTGCGGGCCTGCCTGAAGCCAACCTGATGACATTGTGATTATTCAAACCAGTGCAGTGCGTGAGAAAATGAGGTCAGTGGCAGCGGAAGCGATGCGGTTGCAGTGCCAGCCCACCTTGCCATCCGGTCTTGCAGATGCAGGTCTTGTCCTGGCAGTGCCCTCTTTCAGGGTAGCCACAGTCAGCCAGGCAGTAGGGGACGTCACAGGCTTCCCCTTTCCAGTTGGCTTCGCACTGGCAGTACGCTGAACCGGTGGAGTTCCCCACGCGACACTCGCCGCGGCCGGAGCAGTTGTTGGGACATGTATTCAGCCTGGGAGAGAGGAAAGAGAAGGGAGCAGAGGGAGACCAGGATTCATAGACTGCCTGAAATATAGACTCTGAATAAAACATCCGAAACACATTTCAGTGATTGAGTTACATCTGTTTTTGTGCAAGCGGAGCTTCAGCTGTCTCCAGGCTTAAAAATAAAATATGCAACATTCCCCTTCAGACAGTATAAAAGGTGTTGTTACTGGCATCTTCCTCCCTCATCAGTTGGTCAAGCGCCTGCCTCAACACTTGTCACTCATCTCAGAGGGCCGCCTGCACAGTAACAGCATCGAGCTAGAGGCTGTCATACATAAAGTCACATCAGGCGCCGAAGAGCCGGCGGTAAACAGAGCCAATCTGCAGGAAAACAGCACTACTGGAGCTCTGTTAGTCTCTCAACAGGTATTTTATGTTGTATATTTAGCTTTTCTGTTGGCATCCAACTGACATATTTTTGTGGCAACAATCAAAACTCCTCTTCTAGGAGTCATACCTCTGTCAAATCCAAATATATAAACGTCATACACATACTGCTGGAATCAGAGCGACACACTCTTTCCAGTAACAGTATAACTCATGACTGTTGAAAAATCATTACAAAAAAGACTTATGATTGCCTCACACCATTAACATTTTTGACTTCCTCTTCCGGTATCAACAGTTTATTAGGCATCAGTACAAACAGGAACTCGTTGTAGCTTTCAGAAAGAACCGTTCTCTTCTCTGAAGTTTAACTGGCAGTAGCTTTTCCGAAGCCTGTTGGCACAGACATTGCTACTTTCCTGTTAGTACAAAAGGGAAAATGACATTGATTTCTTGTTCAATACTAAATGCAAAAAAGGCATACCATTACAAGCAGTCTATACAGTATACACTGCGCATGTAGTGTGGAATTGGGACACAGCAACTGGCTCCATGGCAACATCATACTGCCTGTTTGTTGCTGTCAGCGAACACATGATGAGAACTGTTGAGCCAAAGGTCCAAAAGTAATTATGACCAATTAAAATCAGGGAGAAAAACACCATCAGCACAGCACTAGGCCATAGAATATCCCATCAACGTAGTTCTTGTATAGAACACAGACATCCATTGTGTGTTGAAATAACAGGGACATAGACGCAAAATCGGATTTATACCTCGCTCATCCAGAGAATAAGTACATATGAATGTATAACAGTGACTATGCCATAGGTCTGCAAATAAAGGGAGTGAAAACTACAGTGTCATATTTACCATTACTTTCCACTGTTTAGGGCTGCACAATTAATCAAAATATTATCGAATTTGCAATATGGCCAAGTGCTACATGCAAACTGCAAGAGCTGTACTATTTTGATAAAAAGGTCAAATGTGTGAAAAACAGCCTTACAATAAAAGGTACTGTAGTGCTGCAGAGGTGCCCCAGCCTACAAATCTTGTTCTACAGGTGTTAGAAAACATGTTTGTTTGGTATAGGCCGCCAAGAATTTTAAACGATTAATACGTTTTTCTGTGAAAGTTAAATTTGTGATGCAAAAATGATCATATGGCAATCGCAATATCTGTCAAAATAATCACTGTATGATGTTTTTACCATATTTTTATAAAAGGAAAAGGCAGTGGTCTGTATTTTCCTTTTTGTCAACCAAGTCCTTCATACTTCAGTATACTGAACACTGACTTCCCTGTTCGCCAGTGGCTGTCAGCCCCAAGCTCACTGGTTTGTACTGAAGCTGTGAATCTTTAGAACTGGATCACAAACACACTGCAGAGTCTTATTTTTAAAAAGAACTCTCACTTCCCAAAATTGCTGGCTAGTTTTAAGCACACACACATCAACACATCTCAAATTAATACATATTTGGACATTTGGAGTGAGCATTTAAAGAAGCCACACACTGTACGGAGGACTGACTCAACGTAAACTCTGTGTTCATGGTAATGAAGGAACATGTCTCCCAGTGCAACAGTGTGACTCACTGATGTGACTTTTTGGACAGCAGCTGAGATTTATGACACAGGGGAATAAGATGCATCAGGCACTGGATGCACTGACACTACTTGTTAGTACATATTGCCAGACCTATTCGTTAATATGGAAAACACTGCCAACTGTGTAAAAGACTGGAAAATGTCCCCAAAGTTTTTCATAACAAGAGTAAACAAGTCAATGTCAAAAGTTTTGCTTTTTTTTGAAACATTATCATCATCCATCAAAGCAAGAGACTGAAGTAAGATGTTAGTTTTTCCCCCTCCTGAAGACAAACATGTTTGGGAGCGAGACAGACGACACAAAGGGTCCTCGTCATTCTTTCATGTTCCTTCGGCAGCCTGATGGTTTGATGTTTCAGCTCCTCCACCTCTCCCAGACACCAAAGGCCGGGGGGCCCGGGGGCACTTAGCTTTCATCCAACTCTGTGTGTCTGAGCCCAACTTCAAGCCCATCGCTATGGCGACGGTACCAATGAGCAAGGGAAAAATGCAGGGGTCCATTGTGTCCTTTGCAGATGTTTGTAAGGGACAGACTCCACTTTGGTTTGCAGAATACTTTTAACTTCTTATGCCAGTCAAAGCAAGTCGGAGAAAATAAATGAAGTTTTGTCTCTGTTCTGTTGCAAGGTTTAGTTTGATCTATCTATCTATCTATCTATGGATATAATGGCTTGCATCAATATATGGAAGTTTTGCCTAGTAAAGGAATGAGATTACACTTTTGTATTAGTGTGGGTAGATGTTTGTCGTGTAAACATGGAAATTAACATGTGTTGTGTGTCTGTAGATCTGTGAGCAAGCATAATATAATGGGATCAGTTGTTTTTTTTTACTACAAAGAAGACCCAACTGGTTTCTGAAAAGCTGATGTCAGATAGAGACTGGCAGGGACTGACGGCTCACAGGAAAACCAGACACCATGCAAGAAATGCACAACACATGGGGGGAGTGAAGCTGCACTTGAGTTTTGGTCATTAAGCCTCGATTCAAACAACAAGTTAGAAAAGAGGGAAAGGGTGAGGAGATAGGAGACAGAGGTTCAATCCTGGCCTCAAATGGACTTTATAAACATGTACTGTATGTGTGTAATGGCTCATGTAGAAAAAGGCGGCAAGTTTCAGGTTAGCCATGAAAGTCCATAATTATCTTATTCTGTCATACGTGACACTTTGTATTTTCCTACTATAAACTGTGCCACCGTACATCCGACTTCTTCACTGCTTTACAGTTTGTGATAGCAACATCGCTGTTATGATTCAGCCCAGCAGCTTGTTGCAACTGATTTATATTTCATGTGTTTATAAAAATCCATCTCTTGTGCAGTGTAGCATCAGTGCTAAAATACAGTAGATCCACACTGTACCCACAAATGGTAGGATAGAGTTTAAGTGCCAGATTGTAGCCATACAGTGCAGTGTCATTATTGGGCTGTAACCAAAATGGGCCAACTAAATGCATGATACATGGAAAACTGCAGTAGAGGAGTGCATTGCTTGTTAAAAGCTTGAAAGTAAGTAATGAAAGTGTACGGAAGCAAAGAAATGCTGAAATAATTCAAATTTTATAATCTATTTAATATCTAATGGTGTAATTCAACCACTCCCAACCACTTAGTGTCAAAATATAAATACTATTACATTTATAGAAGTGAAATACTAATATATATATATATATATATTTTGAAAACCATCTGTCTAGGCATATGTGGTTGATTTCCGTTCATTGAAATTTCCAATTTCAAAAACACAAATTCACAAATGCAGATCCCTGATCCAGGGTTTTCCCTCGCTCATTTCTACCTATATTTGTTGGCTGGTGTGACTGACAGAACGCGACCTGATAGGACAGATGTCTGATCGATTCCTTCAACCTCAGTTTACTTGATCTGACATTTTTAGCTGTGAAAATTATAATTTGAGGGTTTTGAACTGTTTAACTGTCAATCTAAAATTGTGACCAACATTTTGTATCCTTTTCTTATATTTGTATATATGGTCTCTTTTTATTGTCCCTACTACTTTATTTATATTTTTCTATGTTTAATTGTTATGACACCAATTTCCAGGCAAAAACCGTCTTGGCAAACCTGAATCTGAAATTTTACAACAAATTCTGATTTTGACATAAAGGGTTCAGCCGTGGTTAAATTTATCAATGAAGTGTTCAGTTAAAAAAAAATTACACAATAATATCCTAATCATTATGGCCTTTCTTCATCTTTATACAGTGTTGATGTCAACAACAACATATCGCGGTGTGCCTGACTGGTAGCGGATGGTGTAATGATGCAACAAAAACATACTGCAGCAAATGGATGGCAGCAGCCCGACATGATCAACTAAATGCTGTCAACCCGCCGTGCCAGCGCACAGGCTGAATCATGCAGAAAGTGATAGCTTTGAATGCGTCATCATGTCCCAAGGAAGGGTGTGAAGTGGGCCCTTCACCTAAACAAATCTCAACAGCCAGTAAAACAGAAGTGATTTGTACCAAGGTTCTCATCTCGGGGCTCAGTATTGAAGTATTTGTCATCTAGCAGATACTTTTATCCAGTGACTGACACTATCATGAATGTATGTGTGGACCCCGCGAGATGCAAACCCCCCAGGCCTGGCAGCTACACACTCAGCTGCAGAGGATTATGAGCAATTTGATATGTGGAAGCTGCCATAGCAGCTAAGATTCCAAAATCAAGGAAAGGCCTGAGAATGTCATTAAAGACAAAGGACAACATTTCATTTAGCTTTTACATTTGATTTGGAAGACAACCTTTAGGTTTAGGTAATGTTTTTCAAAGACGCTTCGATTATATTCCAAAAACTGACTGCTTTCTTTTTTCAAATGGAACCAATATGCAACTGAATATGACCTCTGTGGTCCTTTGGGTATCTTTTAAAAACATGAAAATGTAAAGTGGTGAAAGAAACTATTTTTATTTTGTCCTTCTCTCACCTGTAGGAAATGTTGAAGCCGGTCAGGTTGTAGGCAGCATCACTGAAGAAGTGCAGCAGGGCATAGCCGGACTGAGACACCACCTCAGGAACAGTCTCATTCCCATAACGCTCAGGAACAATCAGACCACTGCAAGAACAATACCAAACTGAATTTAGGATGTTTTTATTACCATTTATACATATTTTACTTAAGCTGGCAAACACTTTTGTTTGCTTGTTCATGTAAAAGAATATATATATATATATATAAGTAAATTTAGTAATTATTTGTCTTCTTCATCAAGGTTTTCTCTGCCACCATAAAACTTATATAGTCTGTGTCTAAATGGTGAGTTTGAAATTATGTTTCAGAGCCTTTGCTGCTCTGACAAGAATAAAAAAACATTTTCTAAAAAGAAGATTTTCCTTCAGGGAATCCAGTGGACACATAAGTGAGCTGTACTCAAACCCACTTACCTGAAAGCAGCAAGAAGGGGGGCATAAATGGAATCCCCGTCGTACACGTAAAGGTGGTCCCAGCTGCATTCAGTGGCAAAGTGGTTGAACCGTAATCGGAGTATGGTGTTGGGCCTGGAAAACAGACAGACAGACAGACAGACAGACAGACAGACAGACAGACAGACATGGGAAGACTGTGAGAACTTCTGTCGGGGGTGATCATAACTTTAATACTAACAAAACCACTCCAATAGCCATATACTACCTTTGTTATCACTGCATCACAATCTGCTCACTGAATGTTCAGCCACAATGCTGATAATGATAACTTATAAATAAGTCTGGAAAATTTTGGAAAGTGAAGCTTTCAAACTTTACTGTCCTGAATTCACAATTTAAAGATCACTTTACAATAAATTAAACATCACTTCCTACATAAGAAGTGTTTTCTTACAAACCCTGTTAATTCATGTTCACTCTCAACAGAGCTGCACAGAGGTGTTGGAAGTTACTGTTTCACTGGCTGAAGAGGCTGATTGCAAAATGAAAAACACCCATTTTCCCTTCAGGAGTGGAATAAATGGGATTCAAAGAACATAAAAAAGGTGGATAATTAACTAGGTGATATGGCAGAAACATTCACCACCCAACAAAACTTTACTAGCAATTTTTCCACCCTGCTGTGTAAACTGTATGCCACTGTCCACGGCTGAGCGTTTTTACAGTAAAAGGACAGCAGACACCAAGCAGCAAAAAACAAGCTTGTTTAATACGTTTTTGATTTAAAACATTCATGAGATTCTTTAAACTGTCTCTGCTCTAAATCTGATTAACATTGCAAAATGAAATCATTCACAAAATAAAAAGGAGGGAAGGACACAAAAGGCCCATTTAGTGTATCTACATTCAGGGCACAAGATGTACAGGAAATGTTATGAATAGTCACATTTTTCTCTTCACAATTTTATTTATTAGAGTGAAGCAGTAGCTCTTCCTCCCTCCCCTCGCAGATAAATAAACTGAGGAATGGCAGCAGCCCCAAGGTTGAATTAGAAAAGAAGGCTTGTGACCGATAAGTTAAGAATCAAAAGTAAGGAGTGACTGGAGAAACCGGACAAAGGAACGTCCTATGTTAAATCATCAACTACCACTGAGGTATGCAGCAAAGGACGCAGCGAGCACAGCCATATTTTACTAATCATTTCACTGCCTTTCAGTAGGAAAAGTCACTTTAGACCACTGCAGACATATTCAACACACTTAACTGCAGAGACAGCTGAGAGTGAATGTATGTCCAAAGATTAAGACTCCCCTTTACAATCATTCTCGTCATTTTGATGCATATAGTGTGTACGTGCCGCCGCATTAACCTCCTGTTAAGAACGGGCTGAGGTCTGAAGACAGCATATAAAAGTGCCATTAGTATGTAATGAAAACGTTGGACGACAGGGTAGTCTGGTGATTAGAGAAGCCATCCAGGAACAGCAAGGTCAGAAGTTCAAAACCCTGTAATATCTACAGATCCAGTCGAAGAGAACATGAGGGTGACCTCCTGAGACCCAACCAAGTCACCCATGGTTAATCCCCCTGTATGAGAGTGCTGGCTAAATGCCTAAAATGCAAATGTAATCAAAGAGTTTTCGGATGAGCTGACGGCCCCCAAAAAAATGAAGATTCATCGCTCTAAATCGATACTCTGTGGTGAGGTTATGCTGACTAAAACAACAGAGAAGGTGTATTGAATTTCTCACACTTAGTTTGCCATTCATTTTCATCCATCATCTTCTAGATACTGTAAATTCCTAATACTGGATGGATCCCAGTGAAGGACTGGAGTGCACACTGTGCGTATAGAACCATCATTATGAGCACACTTGAAATATTGAGTTGCAGCCTTGGTTTTCACAATCCATCTCTCAACTGTCTCAGGGTTTTAGCCTCTCTCGTAATGGCAGAAGCTGATTTAATGGATGAAGTCAATAAGGGAGTATTGGTTTCATGCAGTGTGTCTCTAGTGTGTTCTGGCTACTTAAGGGACCAGATGTGTAGGGGACCAGATGTGTAGGGTTTTTTTTTTTGCTCATGACGATATGTGCAGCAAACACATCCTCCACCTAAAACCACCTCAAAAGATCATTTGAAAAATTCAACTATTTGTACACAACTTATTTAAACTGTCTGGACAAAATTAGATATTACAGTCTACTGCAAACACTAACTTTATTAGAGAATATTGAATTACTTGTACTATTTCTAGTGTTGTTTAAGACAAGACACAGCCAAAGATTTTCTAAACTAATTAAAGGGGTAGTTCAGGTATTTTGAAGTGGGGCTGTATGAAGTGTGTATCTATAGTCAGTGTATTACTAAGAGTAGATTTAGGTCAGCACGCCCTCCGTTTGGAGTAGCAGACAGGAGTCCCAGCAGGGACGGGGTCAGCAGAAAAACTTATTAGCCATATAAAAAAAAACAGCATAGACTTAAAATGAGTTTAAGTGTACGCTGTCACACAGCCTTTTCTTTTGGCACTACTTTTCTTTAAGGGATTCAGTCAGACTGATTTTAAACTCTTAACAAAGTACTTTAAGAGCAGCGTAATTGTTACAAAGTCCTGTCCTGATCTGCATTTCTCCCCTGGTGTCGGATCTGCACTCTACTTACTGTCCCTCGATCAGCCAGGTGCACTTGGTCTTGTACTTGTAGTTTCCTGGACCGTCAGTCAGGTAACCAGAGGGCCCCGTCAACCTGAGAGAAAGGAGGAAGAGAGGGAATAGAATCAAGGTTACAGGTGAAGATGTAAAATGTGTTCATGCGGCAGGTATGAGGTAAAATGAAGTACAACTGATAGCACACCTGAAACATGTTAGCATTTAGCATGCTGGAAATAGCAGCATAATAGCATAATAGCTCAGAGCACTGTTGTCACAGAGCTGGCATGGCTGTAGACTCTTAATCTTGTTATCTGATAATTTATTAAACTGATAAATCAATTAAGTGGTGGAACAATAGTGGATCAAAAAAGAAAATTCATATTTAATTTCTCAAGCAAATCCTTTTTCTGTTTCCAGCTTCTTAAATGTGGGGATTGCTTTTTTTGTATCATTGTTAATTCAATTTAACTCAATAAGACATTTCCTAAACTGCACTTTAATTCAAAAACATAACAGTCAATCAATTGATAACAAAAAAAAAAAAACATTACGAGCCCAGAGAATCAGTCGAAGAATTCCAGCACTAGAATATTGGTCAAAGTCTGTTCAGTAAACCAACATACACAGATAGCGGTTTCATATCACTATCTGAAGCTTTAAAATACAGATTACAAGACTCAGGCTGAAGTCATAATTTTTGAGAATGTTCTGCAGTGACAGCGTAGAAATGATTACACACACATAACACACAACATACAGAGTCAGCAGAGCAGAGACAGCGCAGGTAAACACCAACTTCTGCCACTTTTTAGTTGGTGCAGCTTGGCGGTTGAGCAAGCAGCAAACAGGACAGCTGAGGGGCTGACAATGATTAAACCTCGCAGCAAATTATTATCTGAGGCGGACACCACGACGGGCAGCCGCAAACACTCTAATAGTACAGTACAGCGCCCTGCCTGCGTTATTGCCTGATCAATTTCAGCTTGATGACACAGCAGCAGAGAGGGGCTGAATTACACAGGGGACACTTAGATGCAGTCAGAGATTGTATCATTACTGATGTAGGTCTCAGGGTGCGATGACTCTGCCAACAAACCCAGCCACAGTCCTGTTCCAAAACAGTCTCTCAGCACCATTTCAGTCTAAAGTCTACAGAGAACGCACTCCTCCCTTATTCAGCTCCAGCAGCCAGCTAAAGATCTCTGCACCACAAAGAAAATGTCAATCTAAAAGATTCGCTTTTATAAAAGACACATCCATAAAAAGTTAAAGTGCTTGACATTTTGACAGAACATTTGTTATCTCGACTTAATGTGGATTAATTTTTCGGTTTGTTGGTTTCTATTTACTTCATTTCACTACAGAAACGGGAATCTATTCTTTCACAATTTAATACACAGCAGATGAAATTGATAACATAGGACTTCTTGGGAGATCCTGGTGTGTACTGCACAACAAAAGATTGTATCTGCATCCAGGCAACAAGTGTGCTGCAACTTCTTGTTATTGAAAACTTTAGCCCGCAACCATAGCTGCAGAGGTGCAGGCCAATGGGCCCAGCTGTGTGAGCTGGGTGGCTTAGAGTCCAAGGCTGAGGGTGTTGTTAAGTTAACCACTTTACAAGCCAAACATATGACTTTATATTGCAACAATGCTCTCCTGCTATCTCTTAGCTTAGAGATTTTTAACAGCCAAATATAAAGCTTTTTTGATCATCGGAAATGATTCATTCCAACATTGACAACCACACAGGAGGGTTTGCATAATACGGCTGGCTCACTGTTTGTACTGCAAGTGTTTTAAGAGAGTAGTTTCACCCAGCCCTCTTCACGTGGTAGGTCTCAGCGGTTAGCTAACGAGTACACTAACGCTGTAATTACACGTCGCTCAGTGCTAATACAGCAGGGACCTGCAGGGACTCTGCAAGCTGAACAACAGAGCTCCCTTAGAGGATCACAGGCTCCAGACTTCCCTGAAGCCAACACAAACTGTTTCCTAGTACTACTGAACAGACTGCACTACTACTGGGATACAAATTCTCTTTGAAACACCAAGAGAGATGATCCAAAATATAGTTATATATGAACCTAGAATTCATGTTTTTTTATCATTAGCGACAAGTTGAATAACAATTAATGGGCGACTTCACCTAAATAATGCATATAAGGAAGCCTAGAGGGATCAGTCACATAGTTTAGATCCTCTCTGATACCTCTGCAGTCATCCTAATACAATGGAGGTAAAAGGAATTTCCTTTGTGGTGCTCAAAGCGTTAAAAAAATGACAGCAATGTCTTTCTTTCTAGAAACAATGTCTGTTACGCAGGATAAGAATAAAGCATTCCCCTGAAAACCTATTACCTGTTCTATTATTAGATACCATTACTAGTGTGGACATATTTCCTGGAAAGACAAGTTGCTGCTGAGTTTTACAAACATTTAATACATTTTATTCTCAGCACCTGTTATATTGTCACATCAAGACTCTGGCCGATATATTACGGTTATTTACGACCATGAGGCATTAAAACAATCATCAGCTACACTCTTCATGTTTTTATTAGGATGAAGCACATAACGGGCACGTTCAGGACGGCAATCAGTACCCGAAACACAATTGTACGGTGGCCAAGAGGCGTTAAACGACCTGCAAAAGCCACAACACACAAAAACCTTTGCTCTGTCTTTCGTCAGTTCTCATGCGTTAAAACCAACCATTTCCAATGCCTACCACTGGATTTCTGCTTGTATTGATGCAAATTTTAAATAATTTATGTACTTTCTCATCGACCATGTCAGTTATTAAACCTATTAATCCTTAAATGTCTTGACGATTTACTTCATCATCACATGTAAAACGTAATGGCTGCTGCTCCAGCTCCCACTCCACCTTAATCATCAGTGAATAAGTTAGCTTCCTGCACGCTTCTTCAGAACCGTCTGTCAGATGTGCCGAATAGCTTCTAACTATTAACGCTTTTGACTGCCGATGCGGTTGTACAACATGTCATACGAACTACTTCTGATCGAGCATAGCCTGACCCTGCCTTTATTTTTATATCAAAGACAATGTTATCACTGTGTGGAAACTTGTAAGCAAGGGCTGTTTAAAAAGTATCTCGTTCAAAGATCAACCAAGATTTTAGAGATGTCATACCATAGTAAAATGACTAAAACCAAAGTTTTCCTGGTGCTAGGTAATGAGTGATGAGTGGAGGCGCCAATGGTACTATAAAGTGGATGACATTTGTACTTCATATATGCAACTATACCTAAACAGAAGACATCAAACATGTCCCGAGATAATGAATAAGCCATCAGGTGCCTGTACTTCCTGTTATTAGACGCACACATACAGATACAGCGCTTTGCATTCACAGTAATGTTTAACAACGGCTCCGTCTCCTGCAAACAGTGACCCTGCAGCAGAGCCAAGAGGTCTGCAAATGGCAAAGTGGTGCAGCATGAGAGCAGAGCAAACACGATTTCTCATTCAAAAGGCGACAACAGCCCTGTTCAGTGGCACAGGCTGGAGGGGAGAAGAGCATGCTCAGACAAGAGTAAATGCTACAGACGCTAAAGGGTTTTCCCCGCAGACTGTCTGAGCGGACATACAAAAGCAGCGGATATGAGCTTTTAAATCAATTAGGGAATATTTAAGGGGACAATTACACTTCTATTTTTATTTTATACGCCAATACATTCAGAGTGGTGACATCATTTGGATAATATTGCACATGTAAGCAGGAAAAAAAAAAAAACTTGTCAAGTTGCTTGTCACAAGATGCTATAATGAACAATAAACATGCTATCTTCCCTTAGTAATCAACAGATACATAAGATGACATACGATATTATGAAGTTGGTCAGCAGCAGCCACGGAGGAGGAGAGCTGTGAACCTGGCAACAAATCTACAAAGGCTGTGTGCCCAAAACATGCTCATGAAGCTATAAGTCAGTTATATTGTGTAATAAATATTTCATAGATTTTTAGCAGTGGCTGTTTTCCAAGGGACTGTGGCTTTTGCACTTTGGTGTTTTACTGGAGTTACAGTTGCACTTCGATAAGAGCTTTTGCTAATGCACAAATTTACCTTTTCATCAGGCTTAAAATGCATCCTGTCTCCAACAAGACCCTGTAGATTCACCTCATCTGCATAAACTAAATTCTCCCCCTTAATATTCAGCATCACAGACATGCTGAATACACTGCGTTTACTGATGCCACCTCATTTCTGCATTGACACTGATTTTTGAATGAGTTAACTTACATTCAGCCACTATGGCCTTTCTGACAGTAAAACTTCCTAAATTCTAACTATAACTCTGGGTAGCTGTGGATGGGACAAATTTATGTGCCTCTGCATCAGTAAGCTGAAAAAAGAATAAATCAGTAGTACAGCAGCGGGGACCATTAGTCTCTGCAGAGGGCAGGCAGACTGGTCGCACAGTGGGGCCTTTAGTAAAGTGAGGTCAGCCTTCAAACAGGTTCCAGAGAGCGCCTGAGGATGAATGTGGACTAACATGCAGACTCCACAAGAGATGACAACAAAAGGCACAAAGCAGCGAGCTGTGAAACTGGAAATACCAAAACCAAAAAAGTTCCTCTGAGGTCAGGATGGATTTATCAGCACTGCATCACTGGATGAGATGTTGTTTAAAACTTTTATTTTGACATTTCTACCAAGTTAAAAGGATTCAAGTTAATGATTCACACTAGCGCTGAAACCATCAGATTAGATTAGATTATTTATTAGTCTACTGACGGAAAAGTAAACGGGTACACCACGTCCACAAGTTTGTGGTCCGTGATGCATATTCCTGCCGCCCTTTTCAGGCTGTTCCACCCAGTGAAAGTTAGTGATGGTAATGCATGAGAAATGTGGCAATGCACTAGGAAAAGGTAGGAAAGAAGAACACGGCTGGCTAGCAAATGTGGACATGGATGTTTGCTGGACGATGAGCAGGAAATTCACTCAGGTCATGAGTTTGAACAGAGTTACACATCAATTGCATTAGAACTTGGGGGAGTCAGAGTTGGTGCAAGGACATGGACAAGGCATTTATTCAGCACCCCGTCCCAATGCAAAAGAAA